AAAAGATGATGGTGGGGGAGGAGGAAAAAAGACCTCTTCAGAACGCCTACACAAATATTGAGAAAAATTGAAGATCGTTCAGTTTCAATGGAAGTTAGCGTCATAAATGTACTTAAGGTTGAGATCCTTAACCGAGGATTAGAGGAAAACAATAAAGATGTTCAAAGAATTCCTAATCTCAAGAAACGTCAGTGTTAATAGGGTTACGGTAGGAGAACAGCAATGTTACGACACCCGCTAGGTACGGCGTTCCAAGAGCACTCTGAACGAGGCACGGTGTCCAAATATGCCAAAAGTTTGCTGAGTTGAAAAGGTCCTATTTTAAAGCAAGATTCTTTAGATAGGAACTTTTTTCAGGTAAAGTCCTTATTTCGAAATAAACTCCTTTCAAAATCTAATTTACTAGATCCCTCAAAGCATAAATCATCCTCCCACATGCATAAATTGTGTTTCATCACCCCGAGAAACTTCAAGTAAGAAATGAGATGACCTTCCAAAGACAACAGTCGTGAATATTTCATTACATCCAAAAAAACTCATATATCCTCGAAGGATCTTATTTGAGGCATAGCTAACTTGAATACAGTAATCTAGAAAACTTTTTGGTCTGAGAAGTAATGCGGAAACTCCTTTGTTAGTACAAAAAGATACAGGATTTGTTTTGAAAGGTTAATCTAGAAATAAGGTAAGCAATGATTCTTCAAAAGGGTCTTTACATGGTCCTTAGATCTTTATGATCCACTGGAACTACTCAGAAACAGGATTATCTTGCAAGGGGTTGTTTTTGAAAAGTCCTGGGGGGATTTGCTGAAAGTTTCAGTACTCATAGTTCGAGACATCCGCCGCACGCCGTCTCGCAATTTCAGACAAAGAGTTTTAGCTTTCTTATTAATACAAGACCTACTTATATTTATGCTATCGAGTTGCGGATGCCTCTAACTATCCGTTCTGAAATTTTCAGCAAGTTTCCCAAGGACTATCAAGAACGTTTTCTTGTTTTATAAACAAACAATAGTTTTATAAACAAAAAAAGATTTATAGGGACTAGCAGATCTAACAGCTAGTTCCTAAATGTTTTCGTATTTCTTCTCAACTGAAAAAAGATCGAAAAACCAACAATAGCCTGTTGTAGATCATTGAATATGAGATGAAATGTGGTTCCGAGAATAGAAAATTCTCAATAGATTCACAGAAACTAACTTCAGATCTTTAGAACGGTTACCGTATTCCCTCTAGTAAAGGCCCACACCAAACCATCAACTTTGAGCTTATCTCGTTTCGTGTGAAAGGTATCAAAAAATGTTTAACTAATAAAATATTGTTAATATTATGGTAAATAATTTATAAGTTGATAAATTTTTGATAGCTTGCACAGAAATCGAAATAATTGAGCTCAGAGTTGACGGTTGGAGTGGGCTTATAATAGAGGGAATACGGTAACTACCTGAGTATCTACAGACTACTTATAATCCCAATTAAGACAGTTTATAATCCCGATTTGAATAATTTCAGGTTATTTTCTCTCGAAAAACGGTGAAAGCTCTTTTAGATAGGAAATAAGATTTGAAGCATTAGAGGAATCATTCGCCATTTTTTTTTGTAGTGAAAAGAAATTGAATCAGCTTTTGTTCGTGAAAATAACAAAATCGAAAACAATAATTTGATAAAACGAGAAGAATGAATCTTTCTTTAAATAAGTTTACATTCCCTAGATGACCAGCAATGCTTAAAGATCAACAATCAGAAGATAATTGTTACGGTCATGGACATAAAGTGCCAAAAATAAAATGAGCTCTTCTTCTTCTCCGCACACACATCCACTACTAATCGCTATTGTGGTTCAGGAAGAAGAAAGGAAGAGGGGCGGGGAGTGCCTTTTCTCTTTTGACTCCGCCCATTATCTTCAATGACATCACTAAACATTGCTAAGGCTTTTACAGCACTAATCTGGAATTGTCTCGAACCATTAAACTTTCGATTGGTTCTGGAAGAAATGTGTAAAGGAAGGAATAATTAAACTTTCATCTCGAAAGGCGGAGAAATGATACTTTTGTGTGGAAAGAGATGGAGAAAAAGAGTGGGATGGGATGGAAATAAAAGTTGGATGAAAGTAGAAAGAAGGAATAAGATGAGAGGTCATCTATCTTGAGGTACTAAAGGAATGTGATGATGTAGAAGCCATTTTTAGGGAAAAGGAAGACAATAAAAAATATATGAAAACACAGAAGGGTTTCTTCTGGAAAACCTTACGTTCTAGTTATTACAGCTTTCTGGTATGGAAGTTTTTGTAGATTTGGATTGCTATCACTTTTCAGTTTTGGAAAGAAAGTAAGGATTTCTTGGTCAGTATAGATTTTTTTTTAATGCGGAAAAATGTTTTTATCCTCCGCAAATCTGAAAATCTGAAAATCTGTAAAGATTGGAAGGCTCGGAAAACTATTTTCAGCTAGTTTCATTTTCTGTAACACCAAAGATTGGTTTGGTTGACAAGCTCCTTATCAGATCACAAAATGAATCACATTCTTTTCGCAATCAAAAAGTTTTATGTCTAATTGACAGTGATGTTTGTGAAATCAAAAGATTACGGTATCTGAGTGCTCAACATTTGTTTTTTTAGTTGTAAATAAAAATGTCCGAATTCTGGATTCCGAGAAAAATATTTTATTCCGAATTTTCAACAAAAGTTTTTATTTGCAATAATTATCTTCCACGAGAAGTCATTTTTAAACATCCACTACAAACCGCATTTCGGATTCCGTTTCTCAAAAAATGCATTCTCGACATCTTTAGCTGTAAAGCACTCCACGCATTCAAGGATGCAAATTATTGGTTTCAAGATGAAAAATTAAGTCGTCAGTGTCTGAAGAGTCAATAGTAGGAGCAGGTTCCCTAGAATTTTCATTGTGATTGAAGGACGTAAAGTCTAGGTGTGCAGATGTGACATCCGGATTCTGGATAAACGATTTTCAGAACATTACCCTCCATTAATAGCTTCAATTGAGCGTTTTAATTGAAGGACGCCAAACCTCAAACTCCATCCATCTGAATCGAATACATCTGAAGTTTGCTCTGGAATGATGTTTCAGCCCAATCAAGTTAATTTCACTATTTTTTCGATTTTGATATCTTTCCATCACATCACCTTCCACCCCATCAATTATCTCTCTGAAAATTCAAGACTCTCCAGAACGATTAAAAAGTTTGCAAAGCGATATTTATCCATTTTCCCTCCCTCGCCACCCTCAATAATTTTGTTTTATTAGTGTAACCCAAAAGAATGAGAAAATAATAATAATTGTTTGTTTTCTTTTCTCCATATTTGAGCATCGATAAAAATGAAAACCCTCGTCATTTTTGTGGATGATGAGGTGGTGACTCGACCCAAAAAAGAATATGAAGAAGTCGTGTCGCTCGAACGATTCAGAACAATGTGAAGCGTGGGGTGGCCATTGTGGGTCGTCGAGAAACATTTTGGAGCAGCAGAAAAAAGTGAATCGACGACAAATTGCAAGAAGTTGCCAAGAGGGAAAAACGGAATAGGAAGAGGGCAAGAGTTTCCAGGATTAGCATCAGGAAATCGGTTGTGAAAGGAAATGGGAGATAGAGAGCAAAGAGGAGAAAACTGAGTAAAAGCAAAAATAAAATATCGATTTGAAAGTACTGAATTGTAAAAACTTGAAAATTGTTCAACAAAGTCAGGTAGATGGATTCAACATATTTGATCTGAGGCCGTATGCAAGAAATTTTAGAACCGTTTTCCGGTGTTCGGAAAATGATTTTCTGAAAGGCTGGAAAGGATTGTCATAGTGATTATATGCATTTTAAGTCTTTTTTGCCCAGAAACCCATTTTTAAATTTAAAAAAAATTTTCAGACTTTCAGAAAATTATGCTCCAAACATCGGGAAACGGTTTTCCACTTTCTTGTATACGGCCTCTGAATAGTTTCATAGAAATACTATTATCTGGTCTGGCGGAAGGTCCCACAACGACAACTACCGTAACCTGAAAATAAATTTGTTTTCCGTATTGATTGTCTCATTTTTCACATCTTTTCGTCGAGTTTTCTGTTTGTTCCACCTATTTTTTCAGGTTACGGTAGTCGTCGTGGGGGTACTTTCGACCACAGCCACCGGTGTTTCTCTTCCACAACTCCTTTTTTGTACAAAATAATACAGTTGACTTTGAAAATTTTTTAACGATCTCAAAAACAAAATGTGTTGTCAAGATGCAAAGTTTCGAGATTTACAGTACCCTCCGATTTTTTAAAAAACAATAAATATGAGCTGATGACTATTTAGAATAGGATTTCGAATTCAGAAAACCCAGACAAAGAAACTTTCAATGTGATTTTTAAAGCAAATCCTAGCAATCCAAAATTTGAAATCGGATTCTCTTTGCGAATTTCAAAAGTACATGTATTCGTTTGAAGATGTAGACACATCATTTGCAGGATGATCTCATCCAGAAATATCCGAGTGTTGGTCCTACGTGACTATTTCAACTTCCTATTCGTACATGGATAGATAATTAACTGCGTCCATTGAAATAAAAAAGTGTAACACTGAACCGAAGAGAAAATGAAAATGTTGAAAACGACAACGGAACAAACATACCGTAATCACTTCTGATTCGCTTTTCTTTGTTCCCGTTATCAATTGAAGTTCATAAAGTCCTCTTCTATTCTGACAGCTCACCAAAAGTGTTTTTCGTTCCCAAAACCGCGATTCTCTGCAGAAACTACGAATTCCGATTGTTGAATTCCCCGCATTTTGGTATCACAGATGAATTCCGGTTCAGGTGCTCTTCTCTAAATCAGTTCCGAATCGACAATCAAAAACTGATAAGCGAAGGAAAGGAAGAGCGGCACGTGAGCACCGAAGCTTCTCGACGTCAAATAACTAGAAGAGAGTCGAAGAATCGAAAGGTTGATAAGGAAGACGATGTGGTATAAAAGGGGTGAGTGCGGGAAAGAAGACAGCTCTTCGCTCAACTAAGAACAATGATGGTGAGTTGTATTAACAAATTTTAGGAATTAGGAATTGTTTTTCTTGACAACTCGGTCCTCAATATATTCATTTTCAGAAGGTCTTTGTCCTTGCCGCCTTGTGCGCAGTCACTCTTGCATTCGTCCCAATCGATCACAAATCCGCAGTTGAAACACTCACTGGAAAGGCACTGGTCGACTATGTCAACTCTGCCCAATCCCTTTTCACCACTGAACATGTCGAGGTTTCCGAGGAATTCATGAAGTCGCGTGTGATGGATGTCAAGTATGCTGCTGCTCACTCCGATGAGATCCGTGCTACCGAAGTCAACACTGTTCTTGCCTCCATCCCAGCCTCTTTCGATTCCCGTACCCAATGGTCCGAGTGCAAGTCCATCAAACTCATCCGTAACCAAGCCACCTGTGGATCCTGCTGGGCTTTCGGAGCTGCTGAGATCATCTCCGACCGTACCTGCATTGAGACCAAGGGAGCCCAACAACCCATCATCTCCCCAGACGATCTTCTTTCCTGCTGTGGATCTTCCTGTGGAAACGGATGTGAGGGAGGATACCCAATCCAGGCTCTCAGATGGTGGGACTCTAAGGGAGTTGTCACTGGAGGAGACTACCATGGAGCTGGATGCAAACCATACCCAATTGCCCCATGCACCTCTGGAAACTGCCCAGAATCCAAGACCCCAGCATGCTCCTTGAGCTGTCAATCCGGATACTCTACTGCCTACGCTAAGGATAAGCACTTTGGTAAGTCTAACTTCTAAATGTTTCTAAAACAAATTATTAATTTTCCAGGAGCCTCCGCCTACGCTGTCGCCAGAAGTGTTGCTGCCATCCAAACCGAGATCATGACCAATGGACCAGTTGAGGCTGCTTTCACCGTTTACGAGGACTTCTACAAGTACAAAAGCGGAGTCTACAAGCATACCGCCGGAAAGGCTCTCGGAGGACACGCCATCAAGATCATCGGGTGGGGAACTGAGAGTGGATCTCCATACTGGCTCGTTGCCAACTCCTGGGGAACCAACTGGGGAGAGAGCGGATTCTTCAAGATTCTCCGTGGAGATGACCAATGCGGAATTGAGGGAGCCGTCGTCGCCGGAAAAGCCAGAGTGTAACTCTGTGAAATCATGTACACATTTCATGTAATTAACAAAAATTTGCAATAAAAACTTTTATCAAATTAAATTGTTCCATGGGTTAGTAAAATGAAGGCAAGAGTAAATACAATCTGAACGGTTTAAAACACATTATAAACATCTTTTTCAATTTCAATATTTCACAATTTGTTTGTTTCGGCGACAGTTGTACCGTTGAACCCTACAGTAACTGGTGCCATGTCATGGAATGTGATAACAACCTGTAGTGAAAGGAGGGGAGTTTAATGAAACGTTGATTTTTTCTTGAGTACAAACTCTATAAGATGAAAAGAGGGTTTACCTTATCTTTTGGAAGACCGAGTTCTTTTCCACAAAACTCGGTGATCGCAGCGGTATGGCGAATGTTGTCTTCGGCAGACACGGCTCCGATCGATTTGATCTGAAGAATCCATAGATGGGACTGATAAGAGGGTTTCATAGGAAAGAGCACCAAGTACATGACTTCTTTTGGGAAAGGAAAAATACTTATTCAAGCTTGTTCAGGGGGTTCAATTTAGATTTCATATAAATGCCGATTTCAAAGTAAATTTGCAGGAGAAAATTTTGGAAAACGCTGTTCAAAACTGCTATTTTTCTAGATTTCTAGACGCTAAACTACGGGACACTCGTTTTGTCTTATTTTTCTTCGAGACTCGTCGTAAATCGACATAAACCTCTCAGTTTTTCATGGTCTCAAAGAGATATCGAAGAAAAACATAGCAAAAACGGATGATGCCGTAATTTAGTCTCTGGAAATCTGGAAAAAAATTGACAGATTTGGACAGGAAAATGCTTTTGAAAATTTACTCTGAAGACGGCAAAACGACATACCGAAATGACCGTTGCTGGATCGTGAGTGGCTCCGTGAACGAGGCGAGCACCAGCAGCGACCTAGAATCTAGTCTTGGAGCTTTCAATTTATACTCTCAAGTCTCACCTCAACAGCAATTCTTTCTCTTGGTTTTCCCATTGAACGAGCCAAGAGGTCAGTGAGACGAATCTGAAATACCGTCAGAAAATTCAACAATATCGCATGAAGACGATCTTGAAGAAAAATAATATCCTTCACTTCTCAAAAAACCTTCCACCGAATAAATAAATGTATATAAATCGAACGAAACGAACCTCAAAATCTTGGGGGACCTTCTCGTCCGGAAGATTCGTCGCAACTCTAACCATCGGCATGTTTCTCTTCTAGAAAACCGTCAATAACTTTGATTTTAAATTGTTGAAGTTTAAAAACCTGCAGTTTGAAAACGACAGACGACGATATTCTGATAGCTTTTGTCGTCAACATCGACAAAACCGAAAAACCGGTTCTCTTGATACGGCACACAACACCGAGTCAGTAAAAAAGGTTATTCCGCGAGGATACGGTTTTAAAAGAACAGGTCAACGCTGAATTTTTTAACGATGACTTGAAGCTTTATCAATAAATAAAAATTGAACATTGAGGATCGAAAAAAACAGGGTGATAATGAAGAAGGGAGTGCACATGAGAAAAATAAGAAGATGGTAAAGTGTCATAACGAATACGAGAACCGTATTGGTGGGGGAGATTTTCGAAGGAAAAAACGCTTAGTCGGATTGTGCCAATGGGTTCTTGACGACGAGGATGACCGAGTCTCCACGGAGGAACATTTTTGAGATGAAACGGTCCTTGGCGACAGACTTTGCCTTCTTCTTTCCCTTTCCAGTCTTCGGGACTTCTGTCCACATCTCTTTGACGTTCTCGAGCACCATGTTGCAGTGTCTGAAAGCAATTTATGTTTTATATGTTTCCTTCTTCTGGTATAATTTCAATTTTCAAAAAATCGCATTGAATATGGATAATTTAAAACTTGGTATAGCTTTAAAAACCATGTGCATATTTTTCTAATCTTGTTTCTTACCTGTCGAAAGCCTTGACTCTTCCGAGCAGCTTCTTGTTGTTTCTGCAGTTAATGAGAACTTGATGATTGTTCTTCACCGAGTTGGTGAGGATGGAAAGTGGTCCAACGCTGAACTCCTCTTCTTCCTTGGCGGCGAGCTCTTCCGCTGTCATTTCCGAACGTGGTTTCGCTTGACTGAAAACATAAAATTATAACTAAAAATTGAAAGCTTTTTGAAAACTTACGCTGACATTGTAGCCTATGCCTTTACTTGACGATGACCTGAAAAATGCAATCGATTGAATTAAAAATTTTACTGACAATATTTTCGATTGTTTCTTTTAGAAAAATAACGGAAAAGGTGAAAAAAAACGCTGAAAATGACCTGAAAAAAGGAAAATTACAGAAAAGGAAAAGAATTTCAATTCGAAAACTGCAGCCGCACGCGCACGCGACGCAGGCAACGACACTGAGCGCGCACAAAGTATGGTGACCCGCGGAAGTCGGAAAATGTCGGCTGCTGCGCTGAATGACCACCTACCGGCGAGTCGCCATCTTCAGCTTTGCGCTGGGGCGATAACGTGACCAATGAGGCTTTGCCGAGGTGCGTTTATTGCTGGTTGAAAACTTTTCCCAATTGCCCGCGATGTCCCCTGAAACATGGGTGACATACGCAATTTTTGAACGCCTCTAGGAGGCAGAAGAGAAATACAAACATTCGAAGGACCCGATTTATTGCAGGCTGGAACTGAAACCCCTCTTTGGAACTAGCGAAATTCAGTCTTTGCAGAAATAATTTCCAGATCCTCAACTTGAACATACGGTTCTGAACCATTCGAACAGAGATGATTTGCAGTTATTACCCGTTTTGCTGGAGTGGATGTATAGGGCCGAATTTTATCCGGAACTCAGTTTTATGAGAACATGATCAACTGTTGAAGATCTAAAAAGAAAGATACATATTCAGATTGGAGACATTTCCAGTCGTCCCAGAAATCTTATTTATTCAGTCAAATCAAACGAATGCATCTTACAAGGGATTTTCAAAAGGGTCGCCGTGTGGGTGGCATATGATAAATAAGAGGAAATCTGTGTGGGCGATGGGGAATCTGTACAAATACGAATAAAAATGTACGAGGGAAAATAAGTTAATGAAGGACCGGAAAGAATAATAGCATTGGGAAAATCAGTTATGTGTGAGGTATCTCGGTGTTGCACTGAATTTGGCATATCCCTTCACAACTTTATTGATAGCTTCGAGGAAATCCTTTTCGGTGGCAACCTTTCTTCTGGCACGAATAGCGAACATTCCAGCTTCGGTGCACACTGAACGAATTTCAGCTCCAGTACTGTTAGGGCAAAGACGAGCAAGCAAGTCGTAGCGAATGTCTCTTTCCACACTCATCTGCTTAGCATGAATCTTGAGAATGTGAGCACGTCCCACAAGATCAGGAAGAGCGAATTCGACTTTACGATCCAGGCGACCTGGTCTCATGAGGGCAGGGTCAAGTGTATCTGGTCTGTTTGTTGCCATCAGTACCTGAAATGTAATTTGTTTATTGTTATCTGTACTCTTAAAATTCATATTAAAGATATAATTTTCCAAATAAGCCTCACCTTAATGTTTCCTCTTGGGTCGAAACCATCAAGCTGGTTAATCAATTCAAGCATAGTACGTTGAACTTCGTTGTCTCCTCCCTGACCGTCGTCAAAGCGAGCACCTCCAACAGCGTCGATTTCATCGAAGAAGATAAGACACGCCTTTTTGGTGCGAGCCATTTCGAAAAGCTCACGAACCATACGAGCTCCTTCTCCGACGTACTTTTGAACGAGTTCGGATCCGATAACTCGAATGAAGCAAGCATCGGTACGATTGGCAACAGCACGAGCGCAAAGAGTTTTACCAGTTCCAGGGGGACCGTAGAGCAGCACTCCTTTTGGTGGTTCAATTCCGAGATTCACGTAGCGCTCTGGATGAAGAAGTGGAGTTTCGACTACTTCACGAAGTTTTTCAATTTGATCCTTGCAACCTCCAACGTCAGAGTATGTCACATCTGGCTTCTCTTCAACTTGCATCATTGTTACGGTTGGATCAATTTTTGCTGGAAGTGGAAGATGAATTTGATACTTGTTGCGATCGACTCCGACTCTCATTCCTTCCTAGAAATGTTAATAGAAGATTAGTCTCTTTTTCAAACTCCCACCTCAATATCAGTTGGCGCAACGGAATCAGCAAGATCAACGACGAATTTTGCGAACTGTTTCACATTGATCAAATATCTTGGATCATGCTTGTCACTGGTGATAATTTTCGTGCATCTGGCGACCTGAAGAGGTTGTTCTTGCTGCATAGCTTGCTTGTCAGCAGCAATATCCCATAACGCTGGCGGTGCCAATCCTGTATCCGATTCTTTCACGCCGGATAGCTCATTGACCTGAACAGATATAATTGTTTTCAAATTGAAAGTCTACAATTCGAATACCTTCTTCAAACAGTTTTCAATGTCAGTATCCAACTGTTTCAGCTGCTCGGCATATGGACCTTGACCGTATCTCTTCAAAACAGCAATATCTCCTTCGTCGAGTGCTAAATATTAGGAAATTAGATTGTTTTCAATAGCACAAAAATCATACCTTGGAAGTTTTTCTCTTCTTCGGTTGTCTCGCCCTTCTTTGTTTTACGCATATCATCTCCAAGGTGATCTGGCATTTTTCTAGAAAAAAAAGAGGATGAATCCTGATGAAAAAGTATTTTAAAACCTGAAAGAAGTTGAAAACACGAAGCTCTTTTAAAATTTTTGATGATTTTTCAGTGCCGTTGGGCGCGGTGCGTGTCTTTTTGTCAGCCGAGCGCACTTGCATTTCTGGCGGGAAAGACTAATTTTTGAAAATCAAGAATAGTTCTGCGCGCTGAAAATGCTTCCGCAGCTGTCTTTACCCGACAAAATTACTTTTTTTGCAAGTTTAAATTGTCAAATTAGAAAAAAATTAGCACCTCAAAATTCAGTGGCAGTGCCTGTTTAAAGTTTCGCTTTGGCTGATTAGGTTTTTGGGGCGGGGTCTCGTAAATCGAAACGAGCGCATCCCGCGAAATTTCAGGTGTAAATCCATTAGTTCGAAAATAAATAGAGCTTTGCAATTTGTATCTGGCTCACGAAGTAATTTTCGAGTATCCTTTTCCCCCAAAAGCGCATTTTGAGCAGTAAATTGTAGAAAACTGTAAAAGTTGTAGAACAGTTTCAGAATAGCTTTATTTCGTGGCTTCCATCAATATGACTTTGCCGAAAACAGAGAAAAAAACGGTTGACCTATAAAGCAAGACACCGGTAAACCCGTGGTCAAATGGGCAAAAAATAGCCACCAGGGAAGACAAAGATACTTTACAAATGGAAAAAGGCAAAAAAACGCATGAGTTTCAAATACCGTCTAACTAACTATCACAGTTGGGAACAACAAACAAAAGAAACATAAAAATGAAAGGTTAATGATTAAGAATTGGAACCGGATGAGCTTCCGTATTGAACACCCATTTTTCAAGTGAAATCAAAGAATCATCAGCGAATGTGAGATAAGCGTACTTCAGGAACTCGGCAAGGAAGAAAGATTGCATAACATCATCACGACCCTGGGAATATAATCATTAATTATTGCCTGAGTTAAGAAGAACACTTACTGCTTTCGGATTGTACACGTTCTGGAGACCTGTGAATCCGCTGTCAACTCTGCAGTACTTCTCAACAGCCTGCACAGCATCCCAAACCCAATCTCTGTACATAGTTTTTCCAGTCAACCTCCATAAGTAAAACCATCCTTCAATCACTTCAGGTCTTTGAATGTATCCATTCTCAGAATGTTTGCTAGTGGCTTCATCCATATCATTGAAATAGAACATCTCCGGACCAATATGAGTTTCAGAACGAATGTAGCTCTCGTGACATGTTTTAGCCAGTTCTTCTGCTAGTGTCATGATTCTAGATTTCTCTTCTTCAGTGTCTTCGTTGATAGCTTGAAGTGCGAACATTCCAGGAACGAAACAAGCGAGATGACCCATTTTGTGTTGCGGCTGTCCTCCGTTCAGCTCAACTGTGTATGTCAGTTTGGATTGCTTCGACACCTTTATCATGCTGGAAATTGAAAAGATTATTTTTGTGAAACTGATTTAAAACTCCTTACTGTTTCTGAATAGCATCACTGACATCCCAGTACATATTCTTTGCTTGTCTATCCGTATAATTCGATTGAACATAACTTTTGATCAAATACTCGTAGAATGAATCTCCTAATGCTCCTAGTGACATATGACTTCCAGTGAATTTTCCTGTTTCTGGGTTGATGTAATTGGAGTACAATCCATTTGGTTTCTCTGCTTTTTCAAGCGCATCTCTGATTTTTTTCACCTTCTTTTCAAAGATTGGAGCATTGGCAATGCGGCTGAGATACAAAAACTCCAGATGAAGACTTCCAACTTCGGAAAGAATCGACTGTCCTCCATTAGCCCATCCGTAGTTGCTAGCATGCTTTGAGGCGACATCCAGATTACTTTTTGGGATTCCAGACGGTGTGTTAAATGCTGGAAGAAGTGCTTCTCCTACTTCCCGTGCCTTGTCTCTGAAATAAATTTTTTCACTAATTGAGGTAGAACAATCACTCACATATAGAACTTTTCCTGAGTCAACGCATACAATGAAACAAGTCCTCCCAAGAATCGGATAGTTGTCTCAAAAACGGACAGAGTCGATGTGGATTTAGTCATGGAGAAGTTTTTCTCAATGTAGTCTCTGGCTTCCTTGTACTGATCCTTCAAATCCATAATGAATAAAGTGTCAGCTGCATCCACAATCGTTGCTGGCATCTGACTTCCTCCGAAAATGTTTTGAGAATTTGGAGTCTTCGCCATTGGTTTCAACTCATTGGCTCCCCATGAATAGTTCTTGTACCCTTGCCAAGCGTGGATCATCATTTCTTTTACTTTTTGTCGACGGAGATCTGAAAAAAAAGAGGATTTAGTACTCATTATATCAACTATCACAATTACCAGTCTCTTCATCCTTATCCTCATAATGAATTTTTCCTATCAACTTTTCAAGTCCTTCGGAAGCCTGTACTGGAGCTTTCCCAACTCCTGTTTCTTCTCCTTCCGTGCTTGTTTTCTCTTGGACTGGAGGTTTCAGATCAACTCGAGCCGGTTTCAGCCTCTCAACCGTCTCCTGGCTAACCACCCGTTCCACTTCTCCAACTGACTTTGCGTGGATGACACGTGGATGTTCCTCTTGTAGCTCATCTGCCCGATGTCGGTTAGCGACATCACGAACAGCTACAAGCTTCTCTCCGACACGCGGCCTTCCACCAACTACACAGTTTTGTGTTGTTCGAAAGATGACGTTGAGAAGTAGGAGACGATGCAAAGAAGAAATATGAAACAGGCGGCAAGGATGGCCAGTGCCTGCTTATTAAACCGCACTGTTTTCATTGCATGCGTCTGGAAAATTAATGGAAATTGAATGAGTTTGAGAGAGAATCCAGGGGAAAATAGAGGGGAAACGGAAGTATTGGAAAAGTATGAGTGAAAATTTTGAAAAAATTTGTTTCTTGACTGTCAGATTAGGGTCCTAATCAACAACAAGAAGCCAAAACTGCCACGTCATGCCCTAGAAAGATATAGGTCGCAAATTTTACTTTTTGATAGGACACTTCGATGGTTTTTTACAAACTGAAAGGCAACAGGAAACTGGGAAAATGAACTTAAGAAAAATGTCTAGAAATATAAAAATACCGTAAAACCTGTAGTAGAAGGGCCCACTAATTGTTAAATTTGAGCTCACTTATCTAGGTTCCTATCAGAGCTGTCAAAAAGTTGTAAACTAATAAATTGTTTATCATAATGTCACAAATATTTAATTAGTTGACACATGTTTGATATCTCCAATAGGCGGCGAGATAATTGAGCTTAAACTGGACATAGCGGGGGCTTCTAATACAGGTTTTAGTTACACCGTCAACTTTGAGTCCACATATCTTAATTCCTGTAAAAGATATCAAAAAGTAGTCAATTGACAAAATGTTTATCATAAAGTGAAAAATGTTCTGTCAGTTGACACATTTTTAATATCGTGCACAAGAACTGTGATAATTGAGCTCAAAGGTAAAAGTTAGGAATTATTCTATAAGATTGTTTATGGTAGATTTTTTTCCTTTCGTAAGACGAAACTAAACTCTCAAAAACTTTTGAATATTAAAAGAAAACCTAGAAAAATCAAAATGTATCCTATAAGATTTCTTTTTTTGTCCTGGAGGCCCTAAAAAAGATTCCGCTGTCAAACATAGAAAATATCATTCATATTATGACGATGATGGCTTTTTTGATATATGGTTTTTGTTGAAATTCCCCCAGAGAATATCAAGTATACAAGCTCGAGAGTCCAAGTCAAAACTTCGAACTAGGAGAGGAGACGGAGCGTGACGTGGTTTGATGATAATGATAAATTGAATGATAAAAACGGGGATTGATAAGGAGAAGGACAACGAAGAAGAAAAAGAAAAAGAAGAAGAAGATGGAGAATAGGAATGGGAATGAGTGTGCACTGTTAGACACAGGTGTGTAGTTCTTCTTCCAACAAGAAAAAGATCGAATTTCTGATGTTCTTCCCTCTTTTTCTTCTCTGCTCAAGCAGCAAAAAGAAGACGAAGAAGAAATAGGATAAGCCGTGGGATTTGGAAGAAGAAGCCCGTTGAGGTGGAAAAAGTCCGGAAATGGAACAGCTGGAAAACATGGGAGGGGTCAGATGTTTCAATCAAACTTTGTCTTTAGACGAAAAAAGAAACAAGAAGAATTACGGGAAGAAAGTGGTGGGAATGGAAAAGTAGAAGAACGAAAAAAAGAGAAAACGAAAAACGAAGAAGAGAAATAGAGATGGCGAAAGATAGGGTTAGGAGAAACGAAATCGAATTGAAATCGAATTGGTCTCGAGGAATCGAGGGCAAGTCAAACCGAATTTCGAATTTCCACCCCGGATTCAACACTTCTTCTTCTTTTTTCTTTTTTTCAATATTCTGGCACCACATTTTTTAGATTTGGGTTTTTTCGAGTTGCATGGGGATTTTCAGAAAACAGCATTTGAAAACATGAAAATTGGGATAATAGAAAGCAAAAGACAAAAATTAGTACTTCCTAAAATCCCCTAAAACCTGTAATAGAAGGGCCCCCTCACTGTCAAGTTTGAGGTCAATTATCTCAGCTCCTATAAGAGATATCAAAAATGTGTCAACTACTCAAATGTTGTGATATTACGGTAAACAACTTATCAATTCACAACTTTTTCATATCTAACACAGGAACCGAGATAAATTGGCTCAAAGGTGAAAGTTGAGGGCCCTTCTATTACAGTGTTTACTTTCTTTGAAACCTGCTCGTTTGACTTCCAACACATAAAAATGATGGTAATAGAGAATTATAACAAAATACAAAAAGTTAGTAGTTTCCAAAATCTTGAAAATTTGTTCATTTCTAAACGATTTTTAACTTCCGCGTTTTGGAAGACAATGGTTATGTCTTCTTATTTTTGCATAGAAGCCTTGCCACTTGGTAATACAACAAACTCAAAAAAATCCCCACCTATTTTGAAGAATGAAAATTTTGGAGAAAAAACACCAAATGAATTGGAAGCTAATAAAAAAAGGAGGAATTCAATCAACTCGTATTGGTTTTATGAATATAAGTAGATCCACAACACAGATTTGCCCCCTAAAATTGTCCTAAAAACTTCATGGCCGTAAAATCAACTCAACCGGAACCGAAAAACAATAAAAAACAAACTAGGTATCGGCGGCCCGGCTGGCCTGTTTGCAATTTCAGTAATTACGCGTTATGCAGACACAAGTGGTCAGACAGTGTACCGTTTACGCACCGCCCTGTCCATTTCTAATTATTATCTGGTTTTCCGGAAAAATAGACGATCATCACGAGATCCGAGAGAGATATTCATGTTGAATCGGGCAGATGACAAGTACGCTCTACAATGATCAATCATTGAAAAAGGTCAAATGAAGTGATGGGTCTTTACTGTCTACAGATAAGCACAAAACTTTGTTGATTCCTGAAGGAAGGAAAGTTAAAATCAATAGTCAGAAACTTGGTCGAATAGTCAATGTTTTTTCTTCCAAAAAAAGGGCGTGGTGTTTGCATTAGCCGTCTCTCCTTCCAATTCTCGTCTTTCGTCTCCGTCGTTTCTTACCCTTTTATAGTTGTCATCGAAATTTTATGGTAATGGGTTTGGGGTAACAGGGCAGTAACCATAAAACATTCAAGGGAACGACAGGAGAATGCAAAACAGAGCAGGTGGAATCAGATGGGTTTTTATGGTTGAAGCAGTTTATACTTTCTCGAGTAGAATGTAGGACTAATTCACAGAATAAGGTGTGGTTGGCGAAAAGCGTACAAATGGCGGACCAACTTTGTTAAATCAAACACAATTTTTTTAAAATTTGATCGAAAAACCATAATTTTGTTCATTATCTTCCAATTGCTTACGTTTACTTCTCATACTTTCTATCACAATTTCTTCCCCATTTGCTTACAGACGCAAGTTATAGCCAATTCTCAAATTTTCAGCCACCATTTGCACGCTTTTTGGCCACTTCGTCTTGCCTCTGTTATCTAACAAGCAGAAGAATTTACCGTTATAAAGAAGCTAACTCTGAAGATATGAAAAGTTGTCGAATTCAAATCTCAATAATCTAATAGTAAGGAATCCATCTTCTTAACAATATTGTAATCCTCTTACTACACACTTGTAAGTGTTAAGAAATCTTATTAAGACACATTTTGGTTTTTCTAGGTCTTCATTTAATATTCAAAAGTTTTAGAGAGTTTAGTTTGATCAAAATTGAGATTAGGAGTAAAATAATCTGTGAATATTGTGGGATTCTCTTCGTCTTATGAAAGAAAAAAAGACTACCACAATAAACTCTCCAATAGAATGGTCCCCTAACTTTCAAATTTGAGCCAATTTATATCGGTTCCTGTGAAAGATATCAAAAAGTGTTTAACTGACAAAATCTTTTTGATATTATGATGAACATTTTGTTGGCAAAAAATTCGGGGGGTACAATGATTCGGGGGTACAAGGGGGTACAACTGATTTAGGGGTACAAAATTGATGATTCGGGGGTACAAAATTCGTGGGTACAAAAATTCGGGGGTACAACGATTCGGGGGTACAACTCATTTCATTTAGGGGTACAAAGCTTGTGATTCGGGGGTACAATTTTTTTTGAGGGAGTTTCTGAATTCCTGAATTTCAGAACTTTGGAATTTCAGTATTTCGGAATCTGACAATTTCGGAACTTCACAGTCTGAGAATCTCAGATTTTCAGCACTTCAAAATCTCAGAAATTCGGACAGAATTTCGGTCCATTCTCCAGGGGTACATCGAAATAGGGTACATCATGCTCAAGGGGTACATTGACTGAGTGGGTACGCAGTCTGAAGGGGTACATCTAGGTAGTTTCACAAAAACAAAAAGTTCGGATCTGGTCGGGATTGAACTCGCGACTTCAGTTTTTCGTGCACCCACGCGCACCACTAAACCAATTCACCCAGTTTCCCTTCTCCCACCGCAACCTGTACATATTCGGTGGTTTCTAAAGCAGGAAGATAGTGAAAGAGGTTGAGAAAAAACAACTTCCGGAAAATTTCCCACGACTATATCTGAAAATGGACACAACGTAATTTGAAATTCTGAAATTCAGCACTGAAATTTTTCTGTTAGATTTCATGTATTTTTTTCTGTAGTTTACAAAACTTTCTTCTGTAGTTTACAAAACTTTGTAGAGATGAAGGAAAAACCAATGAAAAGGCATGAATTCCGAATTCTGACAGCAAAACTATTAAAAAAAAACCTATTATTTGTCTTCCGAAATCAGAAATAAATCGGAAATTAAGGGATTTTTGTCTGAAAAAAAATTATTTTTAGGCCAGGATTTTGATTTCAGCTGATTCCATCGTCGTTTCCAATCGCTCACTTCTGTACTTTATCTGTCTGTGTTTAAAATAATTTTTTATATAAGAAATTTGCTTTTTTTCTCGAAAATGTGTCTTTTACTGCGATTTTTGTGTTTGAATCCCAAAAAATTGCTCGAAATTCTCATGGAAGAGTTTCCGGAATTTTCTAGGCCAGGGGCCGTTGTCGATTTACGGAGGCAATTTTTTCTATTTTTTCTCCTATTTTCTCGATTTTCAACGATTTTCGACTGTTTATCATAATTCTTTTTGCAGAAATTTGTGGAAAATTAGTTTTTATGAATTTTTATTATCTTTTCTGTCGTTTCGACGGGCAATTTTCTGTTACAGGTCTGATAGTTCGAAAAACGAGTCTAGGACTGAAAATGGTGACCAGAACTACTGCGATAGCCAAAAATTCATAATCTTCCACAAGTTTCTGCAAAAAAAATACGAAAAACAGTCGAAAATCGTTGAAAATCGAGAAAATAGGAGGAAAAATAAAAAAATTGCCTCCGTAAATCGACAACGGCCCCTGGCCTAGAAAATTCCGGAAACTCTTCCATGAGAATTTCGAGCAATTTTTTGGGATTCAAACACAAAAATCGCAGTAAAAGACACATTTTCGAGAAAAAAAGCAAATTTCTTATATAAAAAATTATTTTAAACACAGACAGATAAAATACAGAAGTGAGCGATTGGAAACGACGATGGAATCAGCTGAAATCAAAATCCTGGCCTAAAAATAATTTTTTTTTCAGACAAAAATCCCTTAGTTTCCGATTTATTTCTGATTTCGGAAGACAAATAATAGGTTTTTTTCATAGTTTTGCTGTCAGAATTCGGAATTCACGCCTTTTCATTGGTTTTTCCTTCATCTCTACAAAGTTTTGTAAACTACAGAAGTGAAAAAAAACTACATGAAATCTAACAGAAAAATTTCAGTGCCGAATTTCAGAATTTTAAATTACGTTGTGTCCATTTTCAGATATAGTCGTGGGAAATTTTCCGGAAGTTGTTTTTTCTCAACCTCTTTCACTTTCTTCCTGCTTTAGAAACCACCGAATATGTACAGGTTGCGGTGGGAGAAGGGAAACTGGGTGAATTGGTGTAGTGGTGCGCGTGGGTGCACGAAAAACTGAAGTCGTGAGTTCAATCCCGACCAGATCCGAACTTTTTGTTTTTGTGCAACTACCTAGATGTACCCCTTCAGACTGCGTACCTGCTCAGTCAATGTACCCCTTGAGCATGATGTACCCTATTTCGATGTACCCCTGGAGAATGGACCGAAATTCTGTCCGAATTTCTGAGATTTTGAAGTGCTGAAAATCTGAGATAGCTCAAAGTTGACGGATCGTGGAGAACTCTAAAGTACTCCACAAAAGTTTAATTCCACCATCAGTTTGTACTGGAACAGCTATTTAGGTCAATATTCGTGAAAAGGTGTCAACATGAAAAATAAAGGTCTCCCTTCAAAACCTACGTACCAAAAACTTGGAGCCATCAACGTGACCCGGAAACGAGAAACCGGAAAAATTCCGAAAATCACGTTTTGGCCGATCCACAAAAGTTTAATTCCACTCGGAAAAAGTGAGATTTTGGAGGTTTTGAAGCTTTGCGACCACCTTTTGAAGGCCTGAATTTGAAGAATTTTAAGATTCTGACCCCCATACACAGAGACCATTATACACGGTTACTGATATCCGGATTCCGGATGTCAGATATCCGGATTTCCGGATTCAGAATTCCGGATTCCGGTTTTTTTGGGTTCTGGATTATGTTTACTGAATTGTGTGTAGTGGATTTAGAATATGTACTCCGGATTCTGTGTTCCGGATTCCGGATGATGGATTCCGGTTTCCGGATTAGCTTTCTGAATGAGTTAAAATGTCCCGAGAATTTGAATTTCAGGTTTTCTTGACAAATAAGCGTTTCAGAAAGTTTCTGGAAGGTTACGAAAGCTTCTGAGGTTCTGAGGGATTCTGACGGACCTGGAATTCTGGGAGATTCTCCAGGATTATGAGAAACGGCCCAGAAGATTGCATTCTAACTAACACGACCTCCGAAAACACCAACGTGCATGAAGTTGATAGTCGGATCCGTTCATCTTCTTCGAAACAAAAAACTGTTGGATTGGACCTGCCGACGAGATTGTCGTCCTTGCCATCACGCCTTCATCTGTGAAACTTCTTCACGAGAATCTTATTTTTTGTTTTCGGAGGTCGTGTTAGTTAGAATGCAATCTTCTGGGCCGTTTCTCATAATCCTGGAGAATCTCCCAGAATTCCAGGTCCGTCAGAATCCCTCAGAACCTCAGAAGCTTTCGTAACCTTCCAGAAACTTTCTGAAACGCTTATTTGTCAAGAAAACCTGAAATTCAAATTCTCGGGACATTTTAACTCATTCAGAAAGCTAATCCGGAAACCGGAATCCATCATCCGGAATCCGGAACACAGAATCCGGAGTACATATTCTAAATCCACTACACACAATTCAGTAAACATAATCCAGAACCCAAAAAAACCGGAATCCGGAATTCTGAATCCGGAAATCCGGATATCTGACATCCGGAATCCGGATATCAGTAACCGTGTATAATGGTCTCTGTGTATGGGGGTCAGAATCTTAAAATTCTTCAAATTCAGGCCTTCAAAAGGTGGTCGCAAAGCTTCAAAACCTCCAAAATCTCACTTTTTCCGAGTGGAATTAAACTTTTGTGGATCGGCCAAAACGTGATTTTCGAAATTTTTCCGGTTTCTCGTTTCCGGGTCACGTTGATGGCTCCAAGTTTTTCGTACGTAGGTTTTGAAGAGAGACCTTTATTTTTCATGTTGACACCTTTTCACGAATATTGACCTAAATAGCTGTTTCAGTACAAACTGAGGGTGGAATTAAACTTTTGTGAAGTACTGTATTATAGTGTTTACGACAACTTGAAAATTGAGACGATTAGGAATCTGGAAAATGGAGGAACATCTATATTCTAGAAGTAACAATTAGAGAGATGCCATCAGTATTTTTCTCACCTCTTTTTCTCATTTTTCTCGAGACGAGTAGTTAATGGCCGACGGAAAAAATATTGAATCTAGAATTTGAGTTTTTTGTATTTTCCCGTTTTTTCCCGTTTTTTCTTGAATACATGTACATATAAAGAAAGCACACGAACCACTATTTTCTTGAAAAGAAAAAAAGAGAGTGAACACATGAACACAATGGACGCAATTCGAATTCAGAATTCGTCAGAATTCATAACATTTTTTTTTCTTTTCTCGATGCCACGTGTTCCCAGGTTTCTGCCCGAAGAAAAGCAAAATCGACAGAAAGTAATAGAGACAATGGACGGCAAAAAGTAAACAAAAGAAAGCATAAAGGACACGAAAAGCTCTCATAGTTAGAGTAAAGTCAAAAATGGCGATGCAATGTGAAGAGAGAGCCAAACAAAGATTGGGCGGAGTCTTGTCGCGATCTGATTGAGCCATTTGTGCTAATGAGCGAAACATTTGTTGAAGAAGCAAAAGAAAGAAAGGGTTTAACGAGATCCGGGAGAGGAAGGGTAAACGGAGGAGGAAGGACAAAAAATTTGCATAGTATGTTGTTGGTTTGTAGAAGTTGTCAGCAGAAGAATTCAAAGTCCTGCCTTGATGGGGAGAAGACTTTTTCGAGTTTAAAGAAAGTTCAGAAGAACTTTTTTTCCAATTTTGAAAATTAAGATTTCTTGTTCGTACTAGGCTAACATAGTGCAATCTATTATAGAAACGATAAAGAAGTATTTTTGGTTTCTAAAAAATAGAAAAGACATTATTCTAAAAGTTCAATAGGTGAATTTTGAAAAAGGATCTTGTTCCTGTTCCTGTCTGATCTACCGTAAACACTCTAAGAAAAACTCAAAATCTTCTGACAAAAATTTCCCGGGAAAAAGAACAACGAAAGTGTTTTCTTCAGATTTTTTTTCCTGGAAGGGGAATTTTCAGATTTTTGAGTCTTTGAAAAAGTAAAAGACTTTGAAAAAAAAGTTTTGGTAGAATGTTTTGAAGGTTTTGATATCAAAACTGAGAATTTTGAATTTGAATTTTTTTAGCTGAAAATCATTTTTTTGAATAACAACATTTCGAAGCAAAATCAAGTCGTTTTTGATTTAAACAAAATGTATTTTTCCAAAAAAAATTCGAATTTCAAAATTCAAAATCTCGGAAAGGAAATAATAGAAAAGCACTCTTTACTCCTACTTTAAGCTCGATTATCTCAATTTCTATGAAAGATATCAAAAATTTGTCAACTGATAAAATGTTGGTGATATTACGACAAACATTTTATTAGTTAACACATTTTTGATATCTTTCATAGAAATTGAGGTAATTGATTGGAAATATTACTAAAGCGAAAGCTATGATTATTTAATAAATTAATTCCAAAAAGAAAAAATCGCCGCTAATAGAACAAGAAATCAAACTTCTCCAGACGAAAGAGAAACAGAGGCTTCAGGAAAAAAAGTTTAATCAAAAAGAACCTTTTTGCTTCTCCTGCTCCTCGTTTATCAACATTTTTCATCTGCTCCTTCTCCACCACTTTGACCTTTCCACCTCAATTTTTTTCAAAAACAAAAAAAATGTCAAAATGAGAAAAGAATGGAACAGAATAACTAAAAACGGAAAAAGAGGACCTGCTTATAAATGGAGACGCAGAGTTTTCTGTGCGTGGCAACCACCCAAAAAGCTTGAATCATATAACGAAATACACACCAGTAGTATGGGCTTGCTCTATTGAACTTTTGATATGCGATGAATGGGAAAATTTAGAGAGAGTAGGGAGAGATTCGAACTAATTGAAAGTATTATTCTGGTACAAAGTAATCATAGCTGTGGAAGAGAAACGCCTGTTGCCGTGGTCGAAGGTCCCACAACGACAACTACAGTAACCTAAAAATAGTTTCTTCTGATTTTTTAAAAACCGATTTTCGTCAATTTTTCAGATATTTTTCAAAAAAAAAATTGAAAAATAAATTTGGAAAAAAAATCATTGTTAGGTTACTGTAGTTTTCGTTTTGTTGTGGGATCTCTTCCACAGCTCCGATTTTTTGTACCAGAATAATAAACATTGTTCTTTATATCTTCAAGCATGAAAAATCAATAAATATCAAAAAAGAACAGTCCTTTGTTTTTTTCTTCGAGAGTCTTCTTTCATAATGTACAGTACCACTTCAAATTTGAACAACAATGAGGTCAATTTTGTTTTGATGTTTCCCGACTAAAGAAAAGCAGAAAAGTCTCTTTTTGGTTCTTTGGAAGTAAAAAAAATCTTGAAGCCATTTTAAATCAAATTTAAGTTTGAGGATTCAGCGGTCAGAAAAATGACAGAGGGAACGGAAATGCGCTACAGCGCCGGAAGTTGTAGCTTTTCTCAGTTTACAATGAATATTTGAAGAAGCCGAAGATGAAAGAAGGACGACGATGAACAAGCAACTCTTGCGCAGTGCCACGTCATCTAGAGATGAAGGAAAAGAAAGAGTTATGAGTCAAAACCATAACAATAAACAGAACGGATGGGAGAGGGTTTCTCCACCACCACCATTTCCCAAAATGACACAAATCCGTGTCCAAACAAACACGAGAATGTGTCCGCAAGAGCAGTGCGACCTCGCGCACACTCGGAGAACACCCATACGTACACGATATCATCAAAAAGAAGTGCCGAACAATTAAAATTTCTCAAACAAATTCATTGGAACTCGTCAGAGATCTAAAAATAAACGTACTTGTATATAAACGGGGAGAAGATTCCGAGATTGTATCAAAAAATAATTGAAATTGGAAGGACAAAAAATAAAATAAAAACCAAAACAATAACAGTTTAAAGAGAGGTTTGACATCGAAATGCAGTCTCATCGTCTGGAGCGGGGTGGTGAGATGCTCTCTCGCCGGTACCTCTTTCCCACATCTCGATTCCTATTCTTATCCTGCAAAAATATTGATAAAGGAGGTTATAATTAGTCAGAAACCCACTTTACGGTCCCTACTGCGTGATCTGCTTCTCTTTCTTCGATCTTTCTTGTCATCCTTTCTCCTGTCATTACGATCACCTCTATCACCACGATCCCCACGGTCCCTGTCTCGGTCTCGGCGGTCAAGTTTTCCATCTCGTTCGTTGGATCGCTTCCTGCGTCTATCTTTGTCTTTTTTGTCCCGATCGCCAAGGATCCTACGATCTTTCTCACCGCTCTTCCTCACTGGCGATTCTTTTCTACTCGCGTTCCCACTAGATGGATCAGTTTTTTCATCTCCTGGGGCCATTTTTTCAAGCTTCTCTGCTACTTCCTTTGCTTTGATAGCTGCTTTCTCGGCATTTTTAGCACTTCTCAATGAGTCTAGCTCTGCTTTGATACGTGGCCAATTCGGAAACCGTCTTCTTGCATAGAGAACAACAAGTTGGTGAGCAATTGCTTCAACATCTCGGTCGGAAGTATCGAATGCTTCAAACCAATGGAAGGGTGTAGAAGGCAGTGCAATAGGATCTTCGACTGTTCTTGCTGCAAGGAAGATACAGGCACACGCGATTGTCTCCGGCTTGTATCGCATGAAGATGTCGGTACGAAGTCCGTCGTTCATATAATTCCAAGCTTTTTGAAGGATGTCTGGCCGTGATTGAGTGATTCCAAGTGTATGGCCGTAGGCAACAATCAACCGATGAGGATGCTTAACGTGAACAACAAATCCGAGGGTAGCAAGGATCCTTCTCTCTGAGTTAATCATCTGTAAACTGTGTGGGTCAAGTTCTGCAGAATCATCGGGAATTTTTATGTCTTCATATGTTAGGTCGCCGCCGAAATCATTATTAGAAAATTTCTTGTTACTCACATGTTGCTTGGTGTTGATATAGTTAACGTCGATCTTTGGTGGTGCCAATCCACGTGTCGTTTCTCTGAAAACAGCAAATTAGTCATCGCAGGCTTCGCGAACCTATGTTACGACCGAAACAAGTTTATTCCCAGGATTGATATTTTGTGAACGCGCGATGAAAGCCGCAGGTGAGCAGAACGTGTGAGCTAGTAGTTTTCTAATCTACGAATTACTTTTGCCAGTGTTGACGCGAAGAAAAATAGGAGGAGAGGGAACAACTAAAGGCCTAAAAGTGATTTCGACGGAGTAACGAATATCACGCTGATCCTCGAAATTTCACCGACGAGACCTCGGAACTACGGTCCGTGTGGAAAGATAGAAAAATTTCTCGCTTCAACACTGTATGATACAGAAAATGACACTCAGTATTCGACATCTGAATGAAAATGTAAATTTCAGCTCACACGTTCATTGGCTCACCTGGGTCTTGCTAGTCGATGTAAGCAGGCAAGAACAAACTTCTCTCACGTTCAGCCATAGCATTGAGGGATAGATGATCCACGATTGGCTTCGAGCCGCCTGCGATAAAACTAGATTAAGAGTTGATTTTGTAAAGAGGGGACTAGGGAAGATTTCAGAATAATTTTCAATATTGGTGAATGGTTGACAGGGAACAATAAGATGTATAAGATGTGATTCACATTATGGTTTTTTTTATATCGAAACCACTCGGAATGAATTTTCTATTGATTTTTTTGGTCGTACCATAGGTTTGCATCATCTATGATATTAATAATGAACATCACACATCTAGCTACAGTTTCCTAGCTAGTTGATAAGGGAGGATTCGATATACTTACTTGTTGATTTCATGTCCACTCTGTTGCAATCGATGTAGCTCTTCGAGACGATGAAATACATTGTAAACATCCCGTGGCCGTCGTGGCTCTTCTTCAATTTTTGAGGCAAGAAGGAGACATGCTTGAACGGCATGCTAAAAAAGTGTTACTTAGTTTTTCAGTTAACTTCGAAGTAGCAGCTCACCTCAAAATGATACCTTACGAAACTCTTCTGATAAAAGTAACGCTGGAAAAGAATTTGACCCGTTGCAGCCGCTGTTTGAGGAAGCTTCAACAGAATCGCTCCTTGTTGGATCAGCTCACATCCTAGATATCGAATCTCCTGCAAATAAGAGATAAAAATTGAATTTAATAGAAAGAGAACTAACAGCTTCTAATTCTTTGGAGAGCCCATCCGCTAACGACGGTGGGTTGTCGATCTTCAGCCGCGATTCTTCATCTAGCGTCATCAACCATTTATCACAATTGATATCTACTCTGAAAACAGTTTTTATAAATCCCATAGTCTCAATTAAAGCCTTCTTACTTAGAATAAATTGGGCGTTTACCAAATGAACTTGGAGTGATCAGAGGATTTTCCATCTGTTTGTAAGTGGACTCAAATTTCTCTTCTTCTTCTTTCTTTGTCTCCACAGTCCCATTTTGCTCTTTTGGCTGGAAAATATAATAATGAAAAATGTTGATTGAAATATGGCTTACTTTTGGATTCGGGCGAATCATTGTCTGTACCTTGGCTTCCACCAGCTTCCGCATTTCTTGTATGGTCGTCATCTTATTAAGAATAATTACGAGCCTAAGTGGGCACTGAAACTGTGATATACGTTTTGAAGTAAAGATTATTGGAGTTCAGTTGAGTTTCAACACAAATTGCAATTAGCAACAGAAAAAAAACGTCATTCGAAATCAAAAAGAGAGAAGCGTCGCGGTTGGCGCGTTGCGGTCGCCGGTGTAAACACCCTAACGCGATAATGCAGATTTAGAAGATCGACGTCGTCTTTGAATGAACACAGATATTGTCGAATTAAAAAAAAAGTGGGACCTGAGAATTTGAAAGGCGTCGCTTTTTTTGATCTACGAAAAAGAGCGGCAAAAACGCAATTTTAGACTTTCACCTCGTTCGTGCTACTTTCGCAATTGAGTTCGGTTTTTTAATGAAAAACAGATTCTAGAGATGCTAGCGATCATTTTTACACCAAGACATCTAAATTTTGTCCTGAAAAACCCACTGAATTCACAGAAATGAGTTTCTTTTACTACCGTAGTGTTTCTGGGGCAAGGCCTCGAAAATTGACCGGGAAGCCGCCCGCGAAATTTTCCAGGTCTCACTTTTTTAATTCGAAAATAAATAGTGTGGAAGTTTAAGTCATACTTGAAAAATCAGGGCCCGGCCCGCGGGCCTGGCCGGGCCGAAGATTTCCAGGACCTGGGTTTTCCAAATTTGAAATTTTTTTTGAAATTTCAGAAACTTTTTCAAATTTTTTTGTGAAAAAAACTATTTTTTATGGACACTTTTATCTTGAAAAGTTTTTTACTTGACAGGAAAATCGTCCATTTTTTCAGTTGACCTCGAACATTTTTTTGAAAAGACAGGAAAAATTTGTTCCTGAAAACCCGGGCCGAGACGGGCCGGGCCGGGCCTGGCCGGGGTATGGTTTGAGTGTCAATTGATAAGATAATTCGTAAAAAAAGCATGGTTTGGGTTCTACAGTATTCACATGTACCCATCGGCTTAATCAGAGAAATTCTCAAGAGTCAGTCTTCAGGCTAACACAGTGGGAGAATGAATTTTCAAACTCATTGGAAAAATTATCAACAAAAAATAATCACTTCTCTGACGTCAGTCAAACATCTTCTAGCGACTTTTGCAGCACCTAACGCCCTGAATTCAATACCCGCAAAGCTAGTGTCGTTGACCGGCATTTCAATGAGGAGTCATGAAAAATTGCGTGAAAGTAGGGCGAATAGAAAAAGTTCTTTGCTAAACCAGTTGGATAGAAAAATCCACAGTTAACCGATTATTTGGAACAAATTTTTTCCTAAACCATGACTGAAATCACCACAAAGTCAGTAAAGCAAGCGGAAGCATTGGTTAGTGGAGAATTCAAAGCACTTGGACCGGCTCCAAACTATGTAGGCGATGAGTTTATTGTGATGAGATGTGCTGAGACAATCAACGAGGTTTACCCTGATTGGATCAAACGTTCAAATCTGGGTGAAGAGATCTACGATCCGTTCGATGTGGTATAAAATCAGAAAAGGGAAAAGTTTAGATTATGATTTAGAATGCTCCCATCGAACTTCCTCGTCGTTCCTCTATGCTGAAGTCATATACTCTGGATCCACCGATCACTGAAACTGGGAAAATCGCCTCGAAAATCATGGCTAGAGAGCTTTGTGATCGCCGTGCAATTCCAGCGGTTATCTTCTGCTCTCCTGATTTTTCATCTGTTGAGACCGCCCATTTGATCAAGTCTTACATTGGAGAAAAGTGTGGAAACATTCGGATTGAGCCTGAGCTATCATCCCTTCACAAAGCTGCACATGTATTCTTCGGACCTGACCATCTTAGAAGTTTGGGTTACGGTATTGACACAAAAACTCCGTTGCATCCGGTGGTAGGTGAAAGGGAGAAAGGATTTGAAATTCAGATGAATATCTTCAGACGGATGGTGTTACACTGACTGATTTGGTAAACCGTATCAAACGTGCATTTTATGAGTTGACATCTAAAGTAGAAAATGGTGATCTCTTGAAGTCTCACTTCTCAAATCCAATAAAATTTTCTAGCTCTTTTCATCGTTGATCCTCTCTCCACTATGATCATCTCTTCTCTCTTCTACTCGATTAAAATCCGCACTGAGACTTCTGTGGAACTGGAACGCGTTCGTAGTTTTTGCACCTTCCCATCACTCTCGAATTTTACTACTTTCCGTGTTGGCGGAGATAATGGAGTGGTAGGAATTCAAGCTTTTTATAGTTAGAATAAACTATAAATATTCAGAAGATGTTCGATTTGACAAGCACCAGACTTCGTCCACTCACTTTTACTGGATTTTCGAATGAGATTGATTTTGATTAGGGGCTTGAGATTACTGATTTTTCTGAACTTTTCAATAAAGTGGGAATTTCCAAACTATGGTATTCATTTATTCAAAAGACACAGAATATGTAAAATTAAGAAGCAAAGAGAGAATCCGAATATCCGGTTCACATTATACTACAAACTTTAGTCTTCAATTTATTATCAGCTCGGATATCCTCACACTTGCATCTGGATTTGTCACGAGTATCTCTTCTACTTTTAGTAGAATGTGAATGAGCAGAAGATGAGGTCTGGAAACAAAATAAAAATTCAGAAATTCGATATCTGGGTGATTACCACTGAAGAGCTTGCCATACTCGATCGTTTCTTCTCGTCTTTCGACCCTCTTTCTCCAAGAAGTCGTCGTGTTGGCACTGGTTTAGCTGACTGGAAAAAGAAAAAGAAAAAACAATTGAATTTCATTTTTAAAATGGGAGATCTTAACCCCCAAAAACAGCCAACTCGATCTGTTCCTAATATTCCGAAAGTTACAAGATCTGGTTTCAAAAAGGTTATATCTAAATTCGCTGAACTCCCTCCATATGTATTTTATTATTTCCAGATCACATTCATATTCTCTGGTGCATTTCTAATTGGACAATACGTGGCATACAAAGGAGCAGACTACTTGGAACACTACTATGACTTTCGAGGAGCTGAGAATCCTGATGACTGAAAAATAAATCATATTTGTTATATACCGTTTGTGTTCTGTCTTCCAAACTGCTCATAGAAGAGTTTGAATCTTTCTGTTCCAATTTCTTTTTTGGTTTAATTGCATCTCCAGCCTCTGATGGCTCAGCTGATGGGAGAGAAGCACGATCTTCGTGTGGAATCTAAAATCCATGAAAATATTTTTAAAAAGGAAAGTTTTCAACGCACGCTATCAGACGGCATTTCAGAGAAGGTGATGTTGTTTTGACTGATCACAGACTCGTTATCAACTAGAGAGGTTGCTGCCTCACTCGCCCGATCCTCCTCTTTTCCTTTTTCAGCTATCTTCATCTCTTCTGTTGCTTTTCTCGCTTCTTCCTCCTCCTGAGCTCGTGCTTCAGCACGAATTCGATTTACTTCCTTCAACTCACTCGACGTGGGACGAGGAGTTTCATTTTCAAGATCTTTAGAAGTTTCAGAACGACTTCCAGCTAGGTCAGAAGAGCTCAAACGGCTGTGCAAAGTGATTTTGCTCTCTGTCTTTCTAGGTCTCCGGATGTCTTGCGTATGAGTTTCAGACCAAGTTGGAGGACGATTGTTTTCATCTTGCATGTTCCTGAAATATTCAAAAAAAAATTTATTTTTGAAATCTAGGCCACGCTTACAAGTCAAGAGCCTCAGATGCTTTTGAAGTGACCTCAATTGTATGAGCAATTGTCTTATTGAGCTCCAACTGTGACCCAGATAGGCTTCCACGTCGGGAGCTAGAACTATCGATGGATTCTCTGAAATGGTGAAGCATTATAAACGGGAATGACATAGAAACAAGGTGTCTTCTATTTCTTTTTATGACGGTGGTTATAGAGGAAGAGTCACGCAAACGAATGCATAATGTGCACATGAATTTTCAAACCAGCCATTTATATATGAATCCATTAATTCGTTCGTGTCATCAAACAAATTTGCCGGTTTGCTTACGTGCATCCGGTAACAACAAACTATGGTTATTCTTTGATACTTGATGAATCACATAGGAATAAAATTAGAAGAGGATATTAAAAAGTTTCAAATGAAAAATATAAAATCTTCAGAATTCTAAGTTTTCAGATTCCTTCTTGACACTCACCCTAAACTCATTCGACTGAGAGTACTTGAACGATGTCCTTCATTATCTTCATCCAGCATTTCTTCTGCTTCCTTCTTCTCCGCTACCAATTTCTTCCTTAATGGTTCCGTCTTTTTGTATCTTGGTCTTCCCTTCTTTTTCTCAATTTCATAGACTCTCATATCCCCTTTACCCTTCACAAATATATTTCCTTTTGGTTTGATCCTGAATGACCCACTGGCTTGTTTCTCAACTCTATCTTTAGTTCTTTGTCCGACTTGAATGGTCATTGCCTGCAACTTATCCATTTTTTACTATTCCTAAAACAATAGTAGTCCTAAAATAATACCGTCTGATTGGACGATTCCATTCTGCTTGCCGTATTGACAGTGTCCCCAAACAAACAATATCTTGGAGTTCTGACTCCAACAACACCTCCGACAACTGGACCTGTGAAGATTCCACATTTGATGAGAACTTTTTTGACGGCATCATGGGATTGGTATTCAAATGATCTGATATGAGCAACCATCTCCAAACAACAATCAGCAACCATTTCAGCATCATGATCGTCTCGATAAGGACATCCAGCAGATATCATGTAGCTTTCTCCGATTGTTTCAACTTTATATACTCCATGAGTGTCGACGATTTCATCCAGGTGAGAGTAGATTCTGGAGGAAATAAACTAGTTACCGTAAAAGCCAATCTATGTCGGTTCCTGTTAAATATATGAGAACGTTGTCCACTGAAAAATTGTTTATCATAATACATATTAGAAACCGTTTATCCGTTGAAACATTTTTGATATCTCTCATAGGAACCGAGGTAATTTAACTCAAACTTGACAGTGTGGGGACCTTTTTACAAATGTTTCCACTTACGTGTTCAACAAATTAACCACTTCAAAAGCTTCAATAAATAAACTGATTTTGGCAAAGTCACAGACTCTGATAAATCCAATTGAGACGCATTCAAATGCTTCACAATGCTCCACACTTCCACTTCTCATCATAGTTTGTGCCACCTCATACGGCATCATTTGAGTTAGAAGTCCTCTTGCAGTCTTCTTCGCTTCAGATATCTCTTTTGTCATTTCTGTTAGTATCTCACTTCTTCTTTTCTCATTTTCCAACATTGTTTTCAAAGTGTCACTCTTCTGAATCGTAGCCATTATTATCTCACGATTGCAATCCGATTCTCCAAAATCATTTAGATACAATCCCATTTTAAACATTGTATCGAGTGTATCTACCACGCACGTCGCAAGAAGCAAGAAGGTGTCGGAAGCCTTGAGAACAATAATTGGACCTCGAAGAGTGACGTAAGGAAGGCTCTCTGAAATTCAATCGGGGGTTTTTGAAAATCAGTGTTTGGTACCTGTACCATATTCATTGTCCATCACAGTCTTTTTCTCTAATGAAACCTTATCCTCAACAATGTCATTTATTTGAACGGTAATATTTTCTTCGGATTGCTTCAAGACTGGATGCAATGATTCGATTTGAAATACACAATTTTGATGCACCAATATCCCTTCAGCAGTAAACTTAATGCATGGACGTTGCAAATCGAAGACGTCCGTCATCAGAAGTCCTTGAATGTTCGGCATCAAGTTCAGAAGACCCTGACCAGCCATTAGAATCTCCAATTTTTTATTGAATGCGATATGAAAAGGAAACATTTGCAGAAACGATTTAGTATCGACTGGAAGGTATTCGTTAAGATTTTTCACACGTTCTTTCAATCTGAAAATTTGGAATCAATGAAGAGATTTTTATTAGGTTCAACTTACTTCAAGTCATGACCAAGACCAACATTGTCAAATGATATTTTCAGAACCACAAATGTAAATCTTCCTTTTTCCTTTTTCTTCAACACTTGAATTCCTATATCCAGTTGATAAAATACCCTTGCCAACTCCACTAATTGACCAATGACGTACGAAAGATATCCAGTTCGACGACTACGATAATGGAGAACAAGACCATCTTGACTTTCAGATTTACAATAAAAGGAAGGAGCTCTGAGCTTTGGATAACTGAATCGAAAGTATTCGTGAATGTTATCTAATCCCTTTATGAAATCAGAGAATCGTCGTCCCATTACATTCATCAAGTCTCCATAACCATTTCGAATCAAGAATTGAACGAAGAATCTTCCAGCAAGTACTCCAATTTGTTCATAAGGAGTTCCAGTTATCTCATGAATTGCTTTGAACATTTGGGGGACAACATGCTCGGAGTATTGGTCGTGAGTGGATACAGACTTTTCTGATAAGGATGTCAGCTTTTGGACCTGAAAATTAGAATATTTCCATTAGCTACAGTAATCCTAACAATGATATCTTATTCGGTGTTAAATATTATATTCTGTTCAGGTCACATAAATACTCTGATCGTTGCGGGACCTTTGTCTACGGCCACCGGTGTTTCTCTTTGACAGCTCCGTACCAAAACAATAAGTATCACATTTTGTTCAGATCATATAATCAATTTGTAGCTTTAAAATTAGTTGAAGCTGCGAAAAAGCGCAACGTTTTTTGTTTCGAAATTATTTTTTTCGAATTCCCGCCTACAGTATACCCAGCTGTTTACATAAACTTTCTGTTTGAATTGGTTTTGCAATCCCAAAATTTCAATGTATGTCGCGTTTATTTGTTCGTTTCGAAAAAAGAAGGAATTATTTTGAATTTTCAAATTTTCTCCAGAAAAAAGTCAATAATGTTTCGAAATTTTACTGATTTTGGATCATTTTACGTTCCACTTCAAAATGAGACGATTTCCGGTATTTAATTAACTAAAATACCGATAAATTAAATATTTTTTTACAAAATAAACAAACCTGGAGAAGAATTTGAGGTCCCCAGTTTTCCTGAATCATAAATCGAACTCCTTCGATGACCAAACCATACATTTTTGAAACGAAAAGAAACTTAATATGTTGGAAGTTTCGAATATGATGAATCTAAATAATATTCTCTTCCCGCACTCATCTACTTTCCATTAATTTTGATTTCCGTGCCAGTTTCCGTTGATGTACACTGTTAATAATCGCATCTTCAATTCGTACAACACATTAGCAGCACTTCCCCTTCTTTCCCCTTTTTTCCCAGCTCCTGAAACAAATGTCTGCGTCTCTTCGCATCGCCTGCTTTTTCTCTTTTTCCACCTTTCAACTTTAGCTATCTAAGGCCCCTTCGCCCCCTTCTCTTCTCTTTCTTCCACCTTTAGCTATCTAAGGCAGTGGTCAACAGGCTAGAGGTTTGTTGTGAGTATACGCCCCCTTCTCTTCTCTTTCTTTCAAACCCACACACACACACACACAGCAGGCTAGTGAGAGTCTTCGGAAAAAGAAGAGAGCAGTATACTTGTCATTGCCTTTTCTTTAGCGTTTCGGGCGTGCCCCATTGGCGCAGTCGGTTAGCGCGTGGTACTTATAGTCTATAGGTTATGCCAAGGTCGCCAGTTCGAGCCTGGCATGGGGCAGATTTCTTTTGATTTTTTTGCTCTGGCAAACTCCGTTGGAGCGGAGTCTCTAACCTGTCTCTGATGTGTGTTACGTAATATCGGTGCCTCTTGGAAATGATCTTCTACGAAAAATCAGTGATAAGGAGGGAGCACAGATAAAGCGATCATTGACGTATGCGATTCGCTTTAATAATTTTTTGACATAAACAGATCATGTGACAATGAATGGACCAGGTCAAAGTTGAAAATTTGTATTCTAGTGAAGTTATTGAAAAAAATTGTGAATGTGTTTGGAACATTTTAAGAAGGAAAAATTATAAGAAGAGTCTGAAGATAGAGTAGAGAGCCACCCAACCCGTCAGCTTCGAGTCCACATATCTCGGTTCCTGTGAAAGATATCAAAAAGTAATCAACTGACGGAATATTTTCGTTTTTATTATAAACATTCTTTCTGTAGACTATTTTTTGATATCTTTTACATACACCGAGATATATGGGTTCAAAGTTGGCGGTTTGGAATGACGTTCAATTAGAGTGTTTACGGTAATTGTTTCAGTAAATTACTTCAAATTTTCAAGACTTCGTTGAAGTGAAGTTCAAATTTGGTCAAATCTCGGATTCCGTCTGATCAGGACACTATTTAGTGCAGGATTATACGTCCACCAATGTTTTGGGTCATAACTTGAGAACCAATAGAGGTATCAATTTGAAATTGTCTGAATTGTATTCAGGTCAAAAATTACAAAAAAATATTCAGACTAAATGATTCAGTGGCTATTTTCTGAAATCAAATCTGGAAAAGTCTGAAAAAGGCCTTTTGCAACCGTTGCAAGTTTGTACGTCTGCAACCTGAAAAGTAACCTGAATCTATTTCTCCACGGTTCTGAAACTGAAATTAGTCTAACAGAAAAATTTCAAAAGTTGCTCTCATCCGCATCAGGAGATTCTGAATCAAAAGGTTGAATAAAGATTTAGTACAAAACATGATTTTTTTAATTTGTGCCTGTAACTACAGAAAATACTCGACTCAACCCACATTTCTCGAATTCTCCCGCAATATACCACGTGCCTAATCAGGCCTCTCTTTTCAAACCGGAGCTTGGTAGCGAAAAGGCCTTCTGTTATCAGTAAAATTCGGGTAAACGCCAAATTTCAAAAATGTTATCAACACTTTCAATGCGAAAGTACTATAAAACCGACCGTAAGTGCTTGATAAATCGGTCGACTGCCGAAGTTTGGTTTCCAAATTCTCCAGCCAATCGAACAAAATGGTAAGTTTTTTCTTCTTTTTTGAAACCATTACTTGGATTTTCAAATTTTAAGAAGACTGCTGTCGCTGCTCTTCTCGTTGGTCTTGTTGCCGTCCAAGCATACAATGTTGAGGTGAAGCATGCTGATGCTATCCCAGTTGAGGCTCAGATGCTCCGTGGACAAGAACTCGTTGATTACGTCAACAAGCAACAGACCACATTCACTGCTAAGCTTGGATCATACTTCAGCTCATACCCAGACACCATCAAGAAACAATTGATGGGAGCTAAGATGGTTGAGATTCCAGAGGAGTACAGAGTGTTCGAGATGACCCACCCAGAAGTCCTTGATACCGCTGTCCCAGATTCCTTCGATTCCCGTACTCAATGGCCAAACTGCCCATCCATCTCCAAGATTCGTGATCAATCTTCCTGTGGATCCTGCTGGGCTGTTTCCGCTGCCGAGACCATCTCCGACCGTATCTGCATTGCTTCCAATGGAAAAACTCAGATCTCCATCTCTGCTGACGATATCAACGCTTGCTGTGGAATGGTTTGTGGAAACGGATGCAATGGAGGATACCCAATCGAGGCTTGGCGCCACTACGTGAAGAAGGGATACGTTACCGGTGGATCTTACCAAGAGAAGTCCGGATGCAAGCCATACCCATACCCACCATGTGAGCACCACGTCAACGGAACTCACTACAAGCCATGCCCAAGCAACATGTACCCAACTGACAAGTGTGAGCACTCTTGCCAAGCTGGATATCCACTTACCTACACACAAGATCTTCACTTCGGACAATCCGCCTACGCTGTATCCAAGAAGCCAGCTGAGATCCAGAAGGAAATCATGACCCACGGACCAGTAGAGGTTGCTTTCACCGTCTACGAGGACTTTGAGCACTATTCTGGAGGAGTCTATGTCCATACCGCTGGAGCCAGTCTCGGAGGACATGCCGTCAAGATGCTCGGATGGGGAGTTGACAACGGAACTCCATATTGGCTCTGTGCCAACTCATGGAACGAGGATTGGGGAGAGAACGGATATTTCCGTATCATTCGTGGAGTCAACGAGTGCGGAATTGAATCTGGAGTTGTTGGAGGAACACCAAAGTTGTAAACTCTCGAATGGTTGTAATTTTAATGTGTATTGTACAATATGTATTCAAATATCTAATAAAAGTTGGAAACTTTTTATATTTTATAAAATTTGGGTTCTGTTAAAGCGAAATTCTTGAGAAGGTAAACCTGTAAAAAGTTGCACTTCGAGCTCAATTATGTCGGATCCTATGACAGATATAGAAAATGTGTTAACTAACAAAATGTTGGTGCTAATGTGATAAATGTTTCATTACTTGACAGGTTTTAGGCATCACTTATGGGAGCCGAAATAAATATGCTCAAAGTCCGTATAAAATGGGCTTCTATCAGAGCGTTATGGTAATTGATAAATTGTTCGCCTTACGGTATTTTCCTTTAGAGATCGGTCGGTTTCATACAAACATACCAGAGATGCATGGACAGTCCGTTGTCGGTTATCTGTTGAAAAAATTTCGTCCGTCCGTTTTCCGGAACGATTGAAATTGAAAATTTCTCCCGGAAGAGCTGAAAATGGTGGATGAGCTTTGTTTTGTTTCCATCTCTAATTCCGTCGTTAATCTTTTTTTTAATTGCTAGTGGATTTTGAAAAATGTGTTCGTTGTCCGGCTGTTGTCCGCCAGAAAAGTGTGTCTTTGCTTGTTGTCCGAACAATTAAAAAAAAACAGAAAAATAAAAAATATTGGGAAAATAAAATAAAAATTCAAGGGTGGGAGACAGGAGATTTTTAGGAAGAATTTTGGAGCCAGGGTATGCATTCTACCGTAACGGTGTACAACGCTTAATATTGTACAACGCTTAATACAACGCTTAATATTAATATTACATTAATGTCACTCTACGTACACCGGTCGTCCTCACCCTTATGTATGCAATCGGGAGGCCTTTTTACCTTTGCCCGCGTGGCTCAGTCGGTGGCGGCGCCGTACCCTCAATCCTCGCCTCCACAAGTTCAACTCCCCGAGGGGCATATTTGAACAGAATTGCGATAACATTATTTTTCTCATGTCCCCCCGCCTTTAAAGCCTTTTTCTAATCAATTGAAGATATTATTGAAGTATTAGCATAACAAGAAAACTATCGAAACTCTAACACTTGAAAAAAGTTGCTTCTGATACTGGACAAAAACTAACACAACAAAACAGTAAAAGATAAATTTAAACTCCGGATTAAAAATTTTCACAATGTACCCTGGAAACACTTTTTCAATAAATGATGTCGTCTGGAACCTTTGTTTTATTGTTTTGTTATGTGGTTACTTAAAGTGGTTACCGTAAAATCTGTAATAGAAGGGCCCCCCACACTGTCAAGTTTGAGCTCAATTATCCAGCTCCTATAAGAGATATCAAAGATGTGTCAACTGATAAAATCTGTAGGATAACATGATAAACAATTTATCAGTTAACAAATTTTTCATATCTTTATCAGGAACCGAGATAAATTGGCTCAAAGGTGAAAGTTAGGGGGCCCTTCTATTACAGGTTTTATGGTATATAAAAAGAAATTCGTGAGATACGACCCTGATCGATTGATATTCTTGATCGTAAAGACGATATTTAATACGCGTACACCGCTCCATCGCGATGGTTGTTAACGGAAAATGGCTATAGCTTCCTGGCCAGGCACAAGGATGTCAGCACCAACTGTCTAGGGCTTGGGACCCCTTCGTGAATTTCGATAAGACTCCATTTTTGGCTGTGACTTGTTTGACAGTTCCAACATTTTTCAAATTTGTCACACTGGATTGTTTGCCGTCACACCCAATCAACTTTTAATTCTCTCTAGTTATTCACATTCCCAAAGAATTTCAAATCTTCTTACTATTAGAAAATTCGAAAAAAAAGTTCAAAAAAGTTCATATGTAAACTTTTATTGTACTGATATCAACCGAACAAAACAAAACAACGTGATGACATAAAAAATGAAAAGAGAGAGTGAAAAAACGGAATATGCAATGAGCAAGTACTGCATCATGAGCACGAAGTCAGTAGGAAGACTTGTTAAATCAGAAACTCCCAGAGGCCAATGATTTGTTGAAAACATTAGAATTTTTGACATTCGATTGTGCGTTTCCGATTTAATCATATCAATGTCTTTTCCAAAAAGACTTCGATCCATAACTTGACTTATTTCCACGGATTCGATGGCTGCTGAAATTTTAGACTTCTTTTTGAAAGGTTTATCGCAACTCACTTGTCATAAAAACTGAATATCTTGGAAATACAAAATTTGGCACAATAATGACGAGTAGTAAAATGGCAACACATTTGGACAACGGTTTCGATGGATTCAGAATAGCGGTGAGACAAATGAATCCGACGATGAGAGCAAAAATGGGAAAGATGACGTGAGCAAACATTTCAATTTTGACGCCGTTCATTTGAATGTAGTTCCACAGAAGTACATTTTTCGAGACGTCTGTCACCAGGAGGATACCGGCTAAGAAAATCTGAAAAAACAAAGATAACTGAAAATGTTAGAATAAAAATTTGGATGCTTGAAATTTTTTTAAAGTTAAATCGAAAAAATATATTGAAGACTATTGAAATATCGTAAAACCTGTAATAGAAGGGATCCCACACTGTTAAATTTGGTTTAATTTTTCTCGGTTCCTTTAAAATATATAAAAAAGTGTCAACTGAGAATACGCTTCTGATATTATGATAAACCATTTATTAGTTGATCAATTTTTTATATATTTTAAAGGAACCTAATTGAGCTCGAAGTTTTCTATTTTACGATAGATTTTATAAACTTACTTGAGCATAAGAAAGGACACGAATATAGTAGATGGAAGAATCAAAGACTCGAATTTTTCGTTCATAGTCCCTGATCATAAAATTACTGTTTGTCTTGGTTAGGTAATCTCGATAGTAGTCGGTGTAGTCATCTTCCAAATACGGTCGATTCAAAGCGAACGGACTTCTGGAAAACAATGAATTCGAAAGATGTCCTCGAGGATAATTTCGGTGTGTCAACTACTAGTTTCTAGGGGTTCTATTTCTTTTCTCGACGGGGGAGTTTGTTTTGTTTTGGGGCTTTGTTTGGAGAAGTTTCCATGCGGTAAATTGTGAATTCTTTTAGTAAGTCATCCCTCTTTTGGGTTGACCTTGAATATTGAAATGAGCGTTGACGTCTTGGGAAAAGACCGCTAGTTTGGTGGAAGAGACAAGTTGAAATATTGACACTAATTTGGGTTAAACGAGATGAACATCTAGGTAAATGGTATCTTGTTCTATCTTGGAGATTATGGTAACTGGGGTTAAAAAAATTAATTGACTGACCTGTAGGGATAAGCAGTGGAGTAATAGATCTGCCGGTTCGGATAAAAACCATTATAAAGTTCTTCTTCCATTTACAGAATGCATCAATACCAACAGGATGGGTTGGAGTACACAGTTGTTCTTGGCTGGATCAGAAAGAAGTTTTTTATGGAATCAAGAGTGAACAATTGAGAATGTATACGACACGCAATAAAGCATTTATGACTCAACTGTCAAGAATTAGGTCGGAAGTGAAATGACACCAAGGGGTATTTTCGGAATAAATAGAGGAATGATGTAAATGAATTCTGGATTAAGGTGATGGTTTATTAGATCATCAGAATATCATTTATAGAAATAAAGATAATGGGAGGAGAAGGAGGAATGACCTAAAACCTTGATGAACTTAGGTTATGACAATCGGTAATTGTATTCACAATCAGACCAGAAAGGAAAACAAAAGGTTATGTGAGAAGTATCAATTCCAGATAAAATATAGGAACAGAAAAAAATTCAGTATCGTTCAAAAATATATACAAAAATGTATTTTTCAGTCGATTTTCGGTAATTTTGACCATTTTGGGGAGTCTGGTTGTTCATGTTTTCGGTTCAAAAATAGGCCAAAAATGGGTGTCTTGCAGAAGTCAGCAAATAGCCGAATAACTAATTTTTCATTTTATAATATTTTTGATCACACAAAGGAATTCTCGACCTATTCCGGTATCAATGTTTCAGGAACCTCCAATCGAAATGTTTTGATAAAATTATAAAAATCTAACAACCTTTTAAACAGTATTGTAATTGAAATTTTACAGAATTTTTCAATAGGTTAATGGATAAAATTGAACAATTTCAAATAATCTAGACATCGCTTCTCCTTCGGACCGAAGTGAGAAAAATGATTTTTCGATTCATGTACAACAATACGTCGTGCTTGATATCTTCGCTACAAAAAAGTCTGACAATAGAGTTTCAAAGATGAAAGTACTTAAAACGGATTACATTTGTGACGTCTTCCGATATTCCCACTTCAATCACAAACAACGGTTTTGGAAACTGTGAATCAAAAAGTGCCACTTGGTCACTTGACTCAAATGAACATTGAGAGTTTTTAAAAGTGGCGAAGCTTCTTCTAAATAGCTTCAACGTAATTATGTAACTAGAGAACAACGATGTTGTAGAAGCCGTCGCTTAGCGAAGCGAGCGAATCGGATAGACGGAAAGAACGGAAAAATGAAGAAGAAGAATGACGGCAATGTTGAGGATTTGTGAAAAAAGGATGGAGGAGCGACATGACGATTAGTGGACTTGTAACAAGCGTGACATCTGGAGAGAAATCGTCGATAGGAAGGTTTCTGAACGAAATGGAAAAGTGTCTTGTACTTTTCTGATGGAAAAAAGAGGATCATGAAAACAGAGAAAAGGCATTGAGTTTTTTGAGCTTACAAACCAGAAGATCTTCAATCTGTGAGAGAGCGATACAACTGAAGTCTTCCGCGACAGTACCCTAGCAAGCTCCGCCTCCTTAAAATAACCTCTATAACTATAGGGATATATCCCGAGATCGGAAGAGAACTAATCACAGGAAAGGAAATCAAGGAGACCAATTTTTATGGAGAAGTCAATGGAGAAGAAGTGTCAATGAATAGATGTCGTCAAGTTGTCTCAAGCGAACGACCGTGAAAAGAAAATATCCCGATTGGGGGGAGGGGTGTCAAGAATGGCAAAAGGTGTGAGAAGGTCAATCTTTTGGTCTAAAGCATTGGTCGAAATGAGCGAAAAAGACGAGGATGAAGAAAAGGAGAAGACACCAAATACACACAAAACTCTGACGGGAAAGGCCGCACGCCTATTGAGGAAGAAGAAGAAAAGGGGCGGAGCGAAAATTAGAATACAGGTATTTATGGGGAACACGAGGAATACAACTTGTCTGCTTTTTCCATCTTGGCCCTTTTCTGGGTCATGTCACTCGCATGGCAAAATTCTAATCGTAGTTTTTGAAGGGTTCACAGGTAAGTCGGATTGCCGAAAAGCGAGCCGACGGCTGCTGAGATCTAAAAATTGGCTATAACTTGTGTCTTTAAGCAAACGGGGTAGTTTTTCGAAAACAAAGTTGTTTTCATCATGGAAATCTTACAGTAACCCAAAACCAAGATTTTTAAGAATATTTACGGTTTAGGATTTTTCTCAAAAGTTTTTCAGATTTTTCTATTTTCTGGGAAACGAAATAATCTGAAAAAATGTTATAAGTAGTCTGTTATAAAAAGGATTGAGCTGGCTTATGATTCACCAACTTGGTCTTTACACTATGTTACTCAAACATCTCCAATCTAAAACTGAACGTGTGAAGCCTTCTGTGTCGTTGTATAAGGAAACGGTGTTGTCAAGTGTCCCGCTTTCTCCCTTCCTGTCCGTCAAGTACCATTTCATTATTTGTTGTGTAACCAACACGTTAGGGAGAAAATCTTTACAATGTTTATTATTCACACATCTCTATAAATACACGAGGTGTTCGAGTCAATTACATGGCTTGCAATTATAATCATGTCCTGTAACATATCCTTGTGCATCCAACTGTCTCATGTATGCTTGCCATTCTAGTTCCCCTTTCCTCCATTGTGTCGAGTTGACATGTCCGTTTTGTCGGTTCACACCACCGCCTGGAACAAAAAAATTTATAGGTGTGAAGAAAAAGGGGAAATGGGGGCCACAAAAAAGAAGCGTTAAAAGACGAGAAAATGCGTTGAAGCATACCTCCATTGCTGGCAACTTGGTAAACCTGTTTGATGGCCGAATGGGCAGGAAAATGCACGTTGTCCGTGTTCCCACCGGGAACCGTTTTCACTTGTGTTTCGCATGCAATGATCAGATGATAGGTTACACTGAGAGCATGTTCAACTGACTCTCCACACACCACAAATCCATGATTCCTTAGAATCATAACATGTCGGTCTCCCAAGTCACGGACGAGCAGTGCACGTTCCGCTTCGTCGATTAGGATGCCCTGCAAAAAATGGAAAGAGGTGTCAAGGCCATCATTCATCTATATCCCATGTAAACTTACCCTGTACTCATGATAACCAACTTCTCCAACAATCATAGCTTCTTGGCTAATTGGTAGTAATCCACACTTTTGTGCAGAAACGGCGACGACTGATGGATGGTGAAGATGGACAACACATTTGATTTCAGGGCGGGCTCTATGGACAGCGGAATGGAGCACATATCCAGCTTGATTGACTCCGAAACCCGTGGATCCTCCGTTGATAACAGTTCCATCCATGTCAACTTTTATCAATGAAGAAGCGCTGACTTCGTTGTAGAGCTGGCCAAATGCATTGATAAGAATCTCGTCGGGATCGTTGGAAACTCGAACCTAGAAAATCACTTAATTTTTTTTGGCATAAATTCGTTTAATTATAAAAATTGGGTTATATTGAATAGATTTTATTTATCATAAAACCTGTAATAGAAAAGCACCCACACTGTCAAGTTTGAGCTGAAATATCTACTTTTCATTTCTTTGACAGTAAACAGTAAGCGCTCAAAGTTAGGGATCCTTCTATAATAGGTTTTAGGGTACTCGAGTTGGGAACATTCGAACATTCGGAAACGCGGCTAGAACTTATTAGTTTTTCCATCTCAAAAAAGAAAAACTCACAGTAATATGATTATAGATTCCTTGACTCCACCGGAAAAGATCCACCAATCTGTAGAGAGCGGCTAGCTTGTTTCTCTGCACAACCTCATCTGGATCAATACTTGTATCTTTGTCTAAATCAGCGATCGGAGTGATATGAGGATGAAACATTGGGGCAGGGACTGTTGCATTTGAGAGGACACCAGCAGAAAACATTTCGTAGTTTTGAAATTTTCGATTTTGATCACTGAGAGAATTGACTTGTGTCTGCTGAAAATAATAATTGTTTGTTTTAAAAAGAAGTTTGAAGATATTTTTAAAAAACAAATCAAAAATCTAGGTGGTTTGATGATAAAGTGTAATATGGGCGGGCGTGCAAAAATAGTACGTGACATAGAAAACGAAATGATATGATAACAGCTACCTGTACACTGAACAGTGATAGACGCTTATTGATCGAAGAATTATCCGATATGTCGTGGTTTGCAGTATTTTCAGATTGGCCTCCATGTTCTTCTTTTTCTCGAGATTCTTCTTCTTCTTCTTCTACAGGTTCTCCTTTTGGGGTTTTCAGGTTTTGTTCCAGAGGTTGCCTCGCTAGTGATTGTTCTTCTAGGGGTTCTTCTTTTGGATTTTTCGTCAGGTTTCGTGAAACTTCCGATGAACCATAAGACATTCTCCTAGTTTTAGACTTAGGTTCACATGAATCATCTCTATCACTTTTAACTGCAGATGCTGATGGACCACTTTGAAGATTCGCACTTCGTTGAATATCATCCAATTCTTCTCGATTCAAAATCGCAGGAGAATTTGGAACAGGTCGTTCGAACCCTGATTGGAAAGTGTAGACGATCAGTGATGGAAGACAGTTTTCTTGCAAAGCCCCGTCTATGCGAACCATTCTTACGACCTGAAAATCAAAGCAGTTACACAAATTCTCCATTAAAGTTTTACCTTTTTGTTTAAACCGTGACAGGAAGCTAAGACATAAACGGTGATTCTCAAAACATGAGTAGCAAATATTTTGGGACTTGGGTCAAAATGTCCATGGGCGTTTAAGGTATAGAAGTAAGAGTGTTGCCGTTCTAGAGATTTCTTGATTCCTGAAAGAGAATTTCATTTTTTTGCAGATGCGAGAAACTACAAACCTCCTCTGTACCAAGGCGTAAAATCGTCAGTACACAAATCAGATTTTTGAATTCGTTTGTCGGTAATGAAAACTTCACATCCATTGAAACCGGGAGTAGTTGGTGGTGCATCGTTGATAAGTTCTGGATAATGTCTGAAAATTTTAGAAAATCCCAATTAATCCTCGATTAAGAACGTACTCAGCATTTTGCATCACTGAAATGAAATCTACTCTGTTCATTACTGTGGAAAACAATAGGCATTTTCGACCCGAAACTGTTATACACCTCTGAAAAAAGAATGTTTATCCTAGTCCCCATTAAATATCTCACTTGATTTAACACAGCAGGTACTTTACTTTTTTTGCCCGTCGATGGAATGTTATCGACTCCATAATCACTATCTTCTGACATATTTGTCAACACTTTTTGATGTCAGTGTCTGAAAATAAGTTGTTAAAATTAGGACAACAAAACAATAAAAAGTTTAAGGTATCAAAAATTGGTGATTGTGTTTTGGATCGTTAGTATAGATTCAATAATAAGTTCAGGAAAATCACATGCATCTGAATGGAGGCATGTGTTTATGTGTGTATATGTGTATGTGGGTATGTGTACGGGCAAGGGTGTGTGAAAGAGTGTGTGTGTGTGTGCATCTGTGTGAGGGTCTGGGTATGTGTATGTGCGTGTGTGTGTGCGTGTGGTTGTGTGTGTTTATGTGAGTGTACGTTCGTGTGTGTGTGTATTGTTCTGGTACGAGAAAAATCGATGCTGTTGAAAAAAAAACGAAGGTCCCACAACTACAACTACCGTAACCTAAAAATAGTTGTTGAACTTCTGGATTTTTTTGGGCTTCTATTTTTCAATGAATTATTTTCAAAAAAAGTTTTATTCGAAAAATCAGAAATTTGACAATTCCAAAGATAAAACTTCTGATATTCCGCGTTTTGGAGAATTCGATTTTTTTATTCTGCAATTCTAAATTCCAAAATTCCGAATTCATGAAATTCTGAGATTCAAGGATCCCAAAATTCAAAATTCAGGATTTCTGAAATTCTAAAAACCTGGAATTCCGAAGTTTATAAAATTCAGAAATTGAGAGAACGTCGAGTTCTAAATTCGCAGTTCCAAAAATTCTGAAGTTGTGAATTATCGTATGTTTTCTAATGGAAGCTCATGGGCTTCTATTAGAGGGTGGGCTTTTATTTTTCGAAGCACCTCGTGGGGTCGGCGTCTATCATAGGAAACACGGTATTTTAAAATCTGAGTTTTTTTTTGTTTTGGTGATTCTTAGAATTTTCTGGTTCGGACTTCCCCAGCCTACTTTATTTTTAAAAGAAAGTTCACCTAGATTTTTACTCCATACTTTCGAATATGCTCCTGATGATTTCAAGCGAACTGCCCATTCTAGTTCGACCAATCCCAAAACAAGAATCGACACAAGATAATTTTCAAATTTTTATACTGCTTTTCGGAAAAGCTAGAGAACGATAAGAATCAAATGTTTTAAAATCTACAAAAGAAGCAGACAAAAAAGGGGAACATAAATGTTGAAAATTGGGAAAAGTTCAGAGAAGGAAATGGTTGTGAAGGAAAAAAAAACAATCGACTGATAGGGATTGAGTTGGGGGGAAATTAGTTTTTTGTATGAAGGTTTTAGAAGGATCTGTGGTGATTTTTTAGTATAGGAAAACAGATACGAGGCGATAGGAAAAGGAAAGAGAGAGGATGCTCTGGGTTGGTGGGGATGAATGAAAGTAAGGAAATTCGAAAATTATCACAAGTCGTCAACACGAGATAGTGGAGAAAATTGAAGAGAAGTACAATAATCACACACTATCCATTTCATCGAGATTTTTTTGTTTTGTTTTGGTTTGATTTTCAGAATTCGCCGGGATGAAAAAAAAGTTGAGAAGAAGAGCTGAGGGTGGGGTAAGAAGAATCATGTGGCAAGAAAACTGAAAATCCAGACTAGAAAGAAAAAGGAAATGAGCGAAAAAGCGGATAAGAGATGTTCTCTGTTCAACGGGTTTGAGGGTCCGAAACTCCACTTCTAGAATCTGGAAAGTATTTGAAAAAGTGACCAAGATATTTAATGACATGATTTTTAGATTTTACTTCAAATTCTATCATTTGAAAGGTTACTGTAATATATTCTACAAAAGATTGGATGAGAGGCAGGAAAATATTAAAATATAGGTCAGCAGCGTGCGAATAAATACGAGAGGAATGTTTTTTGTTGTGTACAGGGAGGGGGTACTGTACTAGACAAGGAAAAAGAAAAAAAGAGTTCTGATTATGAGAGCATTGGATGGATTCGATAAGTAGGGGGAAAAAGAAAAAAAAACATGGAGATAAAAATGAGAGAAATGATACTTTTTTTTCGATTCTTCTAAAATTACAAAGAAATAATACAACACAAGGAGAAGAGAAGGCCAAAGGGAATGATTGGAAACGGGAAGAAGGAAATATAGAAGAACAATTAGTAGGTGAAATGCGGATTGATGAATGAAAAACCGCGGAATTCTTCCTGATTGATTGCTCGAACAACTGCTGGATCACTCGGTGTCAGTACTGGTTCTTCTTTCGTAAAGTCACTGTCAAAATTGTTAGCATCGCGCTTTGATTTCTGGAATTTTAGGAGTCAGGTTTTTCAATTCAATTTGAAATACTTACAATCTTCGGCTTGAATGGTGGTTTAACGTTTCTAGATTCCAACGCATCCCAATCGATTTCACGGAAGAATGGATGAGCACGAATAGCATCTTCACCTCCTTGCGAGACAACACATCCTAATCGTTTGCTAGCATTCTTTGTCATAAACTGAAAAACAAAAGGAATTATAAAACTCAAATTAATAAAAGAAAATAACATACCGCCTTGAGAATGTTAACAGCTTCTTTTGATAACCAAACCGGATATAACACATCATCATTTAAAATAGCTTCAAATAGATCGTCTTCATTATCAGCTTCAAATGGAGGTTGTCCGGCCATCATTTCATACATAAGAACTCCAAGAGCCCACCAATCAACCGACACGCCATATTCCATTTCTTGTAAAATCTCAGGTGCAATATAATCGGGTGTTCCACAGAAAGTGCTCGTCAACGTTTCTTTATTGATTCCTTCCTTGCACATTCCAAAATCAGCCAATCGACAATGTCCTTCAGCATCCAACAGAATGTTGTCAAGTTTCAAATCTCTGTAAATTGATAGGTCGGGACTCTATGAGCCATATGAAACTAACCGATAGATAACATCATTCCTATGCAAAAACTGAAGAGCACACGTGACTTCCGCTGCATAGAATCTCGCTCGGCTCTCGTCAAACTTCCTGGCTCTTTGAATTTGGAACATCAGATCACCTCCATTCACATATTCCATCACGAAGAAAAGACGATCCTAAAATATGATTTCGGAATGTTTATTACGTTCTTAAAATCTTACCGCAGTTTGGAATGAGCTGTGCAAAGCTGTCAGGAACGGATGTTTTGCAGCCAGGGAAAGAATCCTCTTCTCACACATGGTACATTCTACGTCGTCATCTTGTACGATAACATCCTTCTTGAGAATTTTGATGGCATAAACTTCGTCGGTTCCTTTCCTTTCAGCTAACATTACTTTACCAAATGATCCCTTTCCGAGCACTTTCATGAATGTGAAATCGTTGATTGAAAGTGTACCTCCAGGTACTTTGGACCCTCTTGATGTAGACGTTGTTCCAGAATCATCTTCATTAATTTGTTGTAAATATCCAGAATTCTCGGAAGCCGATGAACCGGAAACATCAGTGCTAGTGTCAGTCATAATAGATGGCTGAAAGTAAGCGAATGTTGAGAGAGGAACGCTTGGTATTTGGTTTGGTGTTAGTTGCGCAGGTTAACTGACAAGTACTCAATGGAGATCTTTGCAGAAAGTGAGATATAAGTAGAAGAAAACGCGCACTGTTTGATCCCTTTCTGCGCAGGGTAAAAGTCACTTCACACTGCGAGGTACACAGAACAAAGACAACCATCTGGTCACAATTTTTTGAAACTCATTAAAAAAACCAACCTTCTTCTGGATCGAATGCTCATTTTGTCCCCAGTAAGTCCTAACTGTGCCAGCTCGGCCGCCATTTGTTTCGCATTGATTCCACAGTTATTGGCTACGTTTCGCTGACATCTGGAAAAAATATGAAATTAAGGATTTTTTGATGGGCTGGTGCCTAGCGGCGAAAATAATGGGATAGCTTTTTTTGAAACAGTTTTTTTTCTCGAAAATTCGAAAACTCACCTCTTGTGTACATTGAGTTTGCACGTTGAACACTGCAGTCCTTGGTTGATAAGTCCATAGAGCATAGATCCACAGTGATCACAAAACGTGGGTCTTTTGTAGGAATGTACAGAGAAGCGATGAGGCATATTGATGTTGAATCGGCCGGCGCCCGTTTCCTGAATCTCTTTTCCAAGCTCTTCGACGGCGTCAGCTTTGTTCCCGGGACACTTCCATACAACATCTTCGTGGCAACGCTTATGGACGACTACTGTGCACACTGGAAACCAAACATTCTGGTTGGAATCGAATATAAGTGTCTTAATTTCTCTTACCTTGACACTGATATCCTTGCTTTCCAATTCCCCAAATAAATTCTTTACAGTGAGCACAGAAAGTTGGCTGACGCAGGAACAGAGCCATGAATTTGTGTCCAGTAACTTCGTGGATTTTCCTTCGCATAGCACCACGACGTTGACGATCGTTGAAGGCATTCGTTCGCTCTTTGAACACTCGCGTTTTGTTGTGCGAATGGATATCTGAAAATGGAAATATTACAGTAACTGGATGGTTCTAAGATAATAAATAGTATCGTACCCTGAAGTGAGCTAGTTGTGCTTTCTTGTTTCCCCCAAAACCCCCAACTATTCTTCTTTTTCACTTTGGTCTTGCTCGAACCATTTCGCGAGTTCGACGATGAAGACGTCGCGTATTCATCATAAACCAAACAGTCGAAACTCATACGGAAAAATAAGAATAGTTTAGTGTAGCACCAACGTTAATACAATTTGGAGTACAGGCAAAAAGTAGTGAGGAAAAGGACTGATCGAGGCTCGTCGTTTCCCATGGTCTCTTATCAAAATTTCTCTTCCTTTCATTTTCCTCGCGCCTCTCTCTATCAATTCATGACTTCTACGGTGCCTCTTCTAGTTGCTATATGCAGAGGGAACAAGAGTTTCAGGTTGCAAATTGAGGAGAAATGAGAGCTGACACTGTACGGGAGCAATTGATATGAATGTCAGTGGAAATAGGTCAAATTTTCAATTATATTTCAACCCTTTATGTTTAATAGAGTCATGATTCACTGTTTCCCCCTTTGGAACTGTCTTTTATTTTATATTCCCCAAAGTAGAGGGGCTAAAATTTACTGTACCCATAATCACAATAGAGGGGTTTCCGAAAAGCTTTTCCATTTGTGTTCCTTCAAAAAACTTCATTATCATTTTCCGTCCGTTTTCTGATTGTGTGCTTGTTCTTTTATACAACCACAAAGTACGAAAATGTGTCTCATTTCTTCGGGAACAACAAACGAAGAAAAAAGGTGAGCTCGTCCTCTTCTTATGATTCATACTATTTCGGCATCATTTGTCCCCCACTCACAAGTACATTCAGACGTATATTTATTTGTCTGCGTATCACAATCAGACTGTGTCGCTCTGACTGATTTCACTCTTGTTGAAAATTCCATGATTCGACGGTTTTGCACATTAGTTCTTTTCTTTTGTTGTGTTTCCTTATTCCTCTTTCCTGACTTTTTTACTCCAGAAACACTAATTTATTCGTCTGTAAGTTTTTGGGAAATTACTACAGGACTTGATGGAATTAATCCTTTCACAGAAAACGAAAACCCGACGAAACCTTGTCAGTCAAAAACGGAATTCCTCTTCGAAATGTGTCGTTCGTCCACCAGACCCGTGGGACCAATCGATTCTGGAATATGTTCTCGACGACGGCTCGAGGCCAGCTCAACTCGCATGTCAAGCAGCCAAAGTGCAGCCAGAACTCAGTTATTTAGATAAGAATGTAAGAGAGAGAGAAAGTTCGGAAATTCAGAATACCAAAAAGTTCTTCTAGGGATTTCTTCATCTGAATTCTACTGCCATCCGAGAAAGTAATTTAGAAGTCGAATGCCAATATCGAACCTATGATAAAATGGACGGAGATGATGAGAATGTATCGTATTCTTATTGGATCCAATTCAACGTAAGCGTCTTTTTGATGATTCGATTATTGAGAAGTTCGAAAATATTTTTGTTTTCCACTACAACTACAATAGTTTTTGTATAGTCTTTCTAATTGTTTTTAGATACAGATTACTGTAGTTTATGAAAATGTCTTAATTCGATCATGAATTTCAATTATAGAATTCTGCAAAAATCGACGACGAATTCGTAGAAGTCTCCTGTCAACGAACTTGGTTCCCACGTACAAGAGTCTACTCCAACAACCACAACCAAATAACACCAATCCAGAAAAAAGAGCCTGCTAATAAAAACGAAACGGCCTCCTCAGTCATCATTATAGTTCTCGACTCGGTCTCACACTCCAATTTCCGGCGCACGATGAATAAAACGCTCGAGGCATTGCACACTCACTATGGCTCATTTATATTCGACGGAATGACAAAAGTCGGCGATAACTCTTTCTCGAATGCCGTCGGATTTTTTGCCGGCAAGTGGTGGGATACCGAGTTCGGAGACGTTCATGGATTCTTTGATGAGCATGACTTGATTTGGAAACGATACCGAGAAAAAGGCTATCGCACACTATTATCCGAAGATTATCCCGGATTCAATCTATTCAATTATCTCTCTAAAGGTTTTGAAAAGAAACCGGTGGACCACTACTTTCGGCCTTTTTGGCTAAACGTCTACTGGTCCTACGTACATAGAAGAAGCAAAAACTTGTGTTATGGAAACCACCGAATGCATAATTTACAACTCAATTACTTATCACAGTTCATTACAAAATATTCAGGTCAGTTGAATTACAACTAGATCCAAAAAATACTTTTCATTCAGACCGACCTAAATTTGGTGTTTCTTGGTTTACTGAACTGGGACACGATTGGCTGAATCAAGTTCGTTACGGGGATGATGATTTAGCCGAATTCTTAACAAAACATGTAAGAGATCTCGAACAATCCTATTTGATTGTAATGTCTGATCATGGACATCGATTTGATAGTATTCGAAAAACTAGTGTTGGAAGGCAAGAGGAACGTCTTCCATTCTTTTCCATATCTCTGCCAAAAAAGTTACGGAGCAATCAAAATCTAGTGCAGACCCTCAAAGCTAACACAAAGGTATTGGAACCCAAAATATATGCAAGAAAACTCATATTTCCAGAAGCTCACATCCTTCTTCGACGTTTACACTACGTTCAGACACATTCTCTCCTATCCAAATGCTCCAGAAACTAAAAGAGGAATAAGTCTACTGCTTCCCGTGCAAGTTATTATCCAACCCTTTCTATCTCTCTTGTCAACTTCAGTTTTAGGATCGATCTTGTGAGACGGCTCACATCCCGGAAGAATTCTGTGTTTGTGAGTTTGAAGTTGTGTTGAATGTGACTGCTAATGCGAGGGTGCGAACAATGGCTCAAGATTTTGTGAAGGAAATCAATCTTCGCCTAGAGCCTCACGTTCAGTGTGTTCAGCTGCAGTTGAAAACCATTGTGGCTGCGAATTTAGTAGGGGAAGTTGATGAACACAAGTTCCGAATTACAGTAGAGGTATTTCAAAACTTTTACAGAATATTCATCAATTTAATTTCTTAGACTTCACCCTCGAATGCAGTGTTCGAAGCTCTCATATTTTTCGATACATCAAGTTCTCAATCTACAGTAATAGGTGATATCAATCGAATTAACAAATACGGTAATCAATCGGTGTGTGTCAATGATCAACTACTGCGTAAACTATGTTTTTGTACAACATTTTTAGAAGCTCTTCCCATAAAATGAATTTTTTTTTGATCTCACCTTCGACATTAGTTCCATGCATTTCAACAATCACATGAAGTTGTCCATGTGGTTCCAGATCCACCCAAATATCATTTGCACTTCCAATCTTCAGCTCATCAAATGCTATTCGGGTGTTCGCAACGAAATCATCCGGTGGCATAACACAACTATGAAAAACCGAGAATCCGATTGCTTTTCCTTGATGTACACCCGACTGAAAAAAAACCAATTGATTATAGCGTCTTCTTCTCATTCCTGATCCTACCGCAGTAAACTCTTCATTCCAACGAGGTTCGTTAGTTTTCGGCCGAACTTGCGTCTTTCCAATTGGGTATTCATCCCAGTCCACGTTCACATACGAGTCTATCGCAGCCTGGAAAGTCAAAATGGTATGACTTTAAAAAATAAGACTTATTGAGAACTTACGGTTGCCGCCTCGTTTTGACTGAACCGTCGCGACCACTCTGTCGGGCGAAGGTGACGAGCCTCGAGTACGCGTACGCGCACGGATCCTGTGAACAACATCACCACTCTTTCATTCGATGGCCTGAAATAAACGAACCAATTGAACAACAAGATATGGACTTTTGTTAGGAGACGAGACTGATGCAAATCAAATTGGCAGGAGAAGCCGTCGCCGCCACGACAAAACGAAAATGAAGGGACGAGCACTGCAAAGGCTCGCTTGGCGACGGCGACGGCGACGGACAACGACACGGAGCAAGAAGCCGTCGACGACGCGGACGAAGAGAAGGGAAATGGGCGGAGCGCCGCCTGGAAACGGGTCCAGTCGCTGCTGCTTCACTTGCTGCTCCGTCGCAGTCGCAGCCGCCATCAAACGATCCTAATTGTGGACTTATCGAGAGGACGAGAAGAGGCGCCGCCAGAAGAGTGAGAGCCGCGCAAAAGTGGAGAGCAGAGGAGATGCGTCACACGCAACTTGCCTTCCCGGAGCATAAGAAGAAGAAGAAGAAGAGGAAAGGGAGACGAAGAAGGAGAAAAAACTTCACCCAATGAAGCCACTGAGAGAGATAGAGAGAGGTTAAACGGATACGGGAAGTTGACTATTTAAAGGGAAAAAAAGAAGAGAAAAAGAAAAAAACCATGTGATGACCTGAAAGGCGATGTGACGATTCGATTGGCTTGGTTTAAAAAATGAAAGAAAGGAAAGAGCCCTTTTTGAAAAATTTTTTGTTTTCGAATTTTTGTAAATTATTAGTGGTTCTAAAAGAGAGAGAGAGAGAGAGAGAGAGAGAGAGAGAGAGAGAGAGAGAGAGAGAGAGAGAGAGAGAGAGAGAGAGAGAGAGAGAGAGAGTACAAAGTACAATAATTAAATAACGCTAATCAGAGACAAAAGAAGAACAGACGTCAGAGAAAAGAGGAATAGACGACAAATAAGAACTGGGGTGCAAAAAGAGTTTAGATCTGAAACTTCATTTTTGGACTACAGTATCCTATTGGCAAAAAAAGAGTATGAAGGTCCCGCACCGTCAACTACAGTAATCTAAAAATAGTGTTCTTTTCAGGATTTATTTTCTCGTTGTCATTTTCGTCACTCATTTTTGTCGACTTTTCTGTTATTTTTTCAAAAAAGTCAGAAAATCAAAGTCTTGATAATAAAAAATTGACTGAAAACGCACGAAAATCGAGATAGGATACATCCGGAAAATAAACATGGTTTAAGGTTACGGTAGTTTTCGTTGTGGGACCTTCAGCCACGGCCACAGACGCTTCTCTTCCACAGCTCCTATTTTTTCGAACCTGGCGTTTTTTGCCAAACTTTGACCTAAAACTTGCGAAATCTTCGATGATCCGCTAGAAAACTCGAAAGCACTGAATATAGATCAGTTAGGAAAAGAAGAAAAGAATTGCCAAAAAAACTGAGTGAGCCTCAGCATTTCCTGTTGCTTCTGCTCCGCTCCTTCTCCATTTTTTTTCAACAAGAGAGAGAGAGAAAGACCGTCATCTTTCAAATATATTATTCTTCTTCTTCTCGGCTAGGGCCTTCTATTTTTTCTTCTTCTTCTTTCGAAAAAAATGGAAAATAATACGAGAAAGTGAATGAAGGAACGAAACGAAAAAAAAACAATTAGGGAGCCAATTCATCAAAATGCTGTGTATTCCTGTGTCGTCGCCTATTGGGCTCTCCTCTCGTGTATTCGTACAATGGCACAAGAATGTCAAAAAACGACGAGATGGCGATGAAGAAGAAGACGATGACGGCGGCGGCGGCAACGACTAAGAAGAAGAAGAAGGAGAGGAAGAAGAAGGCAATGCGGATAATTGCATCAAAAATGCGCCACCGGCAGCTATTGCCTACCGGAGGGAGAGAGGGACCCTCGGCGGCGCCCAAAGAAGTGGTGTGGTGTATTTTTGCTACTTGGATATTCTGGAGAGCAAAACCTTCTCTAATATTTCGAATTCAATTACATCGCCAACCATCGTGCGCACTCTCTTTTTCTCCGCCTTTCTCGGGCATCTTCGAGTTAATGAGAAAACGAGCGAGAGCTCATTAATCAACGCCACACCGACACTCTCTGTTTCTCTTCTTCTCAAGCCTACTCAATTTTCTTAACCGGAATATTGGGGTTCGCGGCCATTCTTTTCAGCACCGGGAGCCGCCGAGAGCGCCACGCGCTGCTGAGTTCAAATTCAATTTCATTGAGAGCGCCTGAATCTGTTTTTTTGTGTATGTGCTAGGGCTTGGAGCGCTGGAAGAGATGAAGGATACACTAGAACAGATGTCATATTTCTCATAAGCACCTTCTAAAAAATGTCATACGAGATTTCAGTTTTTCAGAGTGGTCTAAAAACGTTCGAGATAGGAAGCTTGGGCAACTAGATGATAAACCAAATGGTAAACGTTGAGAGGAAAAAAAGAAATGATGATGGGTGGGGCATGGTGGGGCGTAAATTGTGTACATAGAAGTACAACAATTGGTTTGGGGTGGAGGTGGTGCAAGTGAATTTATTACTAAAACATCTGGCAGATTTCTTTCGAAAAATGTGCAAGAAAAGATATCACTGGAAACATCTAAAGTCTTTCAAAAATTAGATTAGAGCTTTCAAATATAAACTTTATCTAGAACTCTTGGTATTTATTCGAAGGTTTAGGTCAACTGAAAGTGTCCAGAACATATTGAATTGAAAGTGAATAAAAGCTAATTTTGATATATACGAAAAAATCACTTCATAATCATTCTATTGAACAAGAGAACGACACTTCAGTTGAAGAAACAAAAAGACAATTTTTAACCAAAACCTGAGATTTTCAAAGTCAAAAGGAAGTATTTAAAAAAAGAATTTGAAACTTTTGATGCTATTTGGACCAATTTTTAGGTCACTTTTGATAATTTCTAGGCTAATTTAGGACTATTTTCGGATAATCGTTGAACCGTTTTCAAGTCATTTTTGATCAGTTTCAGGCTGTTTCAGATCATTTTGGATTCTTTTTTATCTGTTTTGACCCGGCCATTTTGGACCATTTTAATGTCATTTCACTGATTTTTAGGTTTAACAATGGGAGTCAAAAATATGAAACCAAAAAAGCTTTGATTTTTAAAATAAATAGGGTTTCATATAATTGTTGGCATTAACTGGCCAACTGTTCTATTAGACTTGTAATTCTAAATCGTAGGAATATCCAAAATTGAACACAACAAAATTTAAGGCGACCTATTCTATCTGACTGACTGATGGCAGAATGTTTCAAATTAGGACGGTTCGAATTACATAACAAAGTGTCAGATTTCCCGCGTCTCTCTCGTTCAGAGTCGTCGGGGCGGCTTTTCGGACTGACGTTTGACATTGCGAGTTCTCTGGCGACGAGTGTTCTCTTTATAAGACTTCATCCGGGGAGTTTTTTTTGGGATTGGTAGAAGAAAAGTGAAGAAGACGAGAAAATAGCTGGCCGAAATAGCGAAACGGACGACGGCTGACTGACTTAAATCTCGGCTCTCACATGCAAAAAGAGAAAAAAGCTAGAAGAGAGAGAGAGAGGGAGAGAGAGAGAGAGAGAGAGAGAGAGAGAGAGAGAGGAAGAGATGGAGAGAAGATGGAGAGCTTCAGTAACAGAAGCAGGGACAGAAGCAGCTCGCGCATACACATACACAGGCCTATGCACATTATAAAGAAGCATGGCGGCGGAAGCAGTAGTCTCGAGATGAGAGGAGGAAAATAGATGAGGAAAAGATAGAAGCAGCGAGTTCGAGAAAACATGCCACGACGAAGTGAGCCCCAGGGTGAGAGAAGAAGCAACAAGAAGAAGAAAAAGAAGAAGAAGAAGAAGCAAAAATAAGGGGAAGAGGGCAAGGAGAGGCGCCTGGAGAGTTGAGCTTGTTGTATGTTTGAATGTGATGAAATGTGCCATGTGTTAGATATGTTCGCTTTGATGTCTATCTCATCACTTTTTTATTATTATTTTTCATTTGTTTCAAAAAAGAAAGTGTCAAACTATATTTTTAGAAACAACTTTCAAAAACCTCAACCTTGAACCAAGATCTGCTTCTTTTTCAGAAAAATCAATCTCTAAAAGATAAATGTAGGTCTGTGAAGAATGAGAATGACTCAGAATGATATAGAAAAAGAGTTGAAACATGTGATCCCTTTCTATGTTTTGATTGAAATCAATTGCTTTGCTGAACAACTGCTCGTTGGCGGCCCGCCGTCCTGGCTTGATCACTAGCTGCTGATAATTGATTAGAAAATATATACTGGCTATGAGAAACGGCTCTGAAAGTATACAACTACCGTGCCCCAGAACTTCTGGACCAGGGCGGATGCACATGCTTCTTCCAATCTCATCTCGTCGTCAAATAAAGTCTCAAATAAAAAAAAACTAGTTCATCAGATAGAAATTCGCTTAAGGCAAAAATATCTCATTTCGATTTGATGCTCTCTCGTGCCCCGGGACGATGCTGCTACTGGTAGTGTTAGGCACAAGCAGGAAGAGGAGTACGAGTGTTGGAAGAGAAAAACGCTCACACGCATAATCCGTCTGAATGAGCGGCGGCGGGAGGAGCGGAATAGGAGGGGGTGAAGAAAAATTGGAAAGATGATGTACGTTCACATTCCAATGCTAGTGAATCCATGACCATAGATGTGACTTGCTGAGGTCCAGGAAGGATAACTGTGGCAGAAGTTATTTGATGTCGGAAACTCTCCAACTGGACCAGTTGAAGTGGTTATCCGGAATATCATAATAGATCTCATTCTCTGTTAGGGTTTTGTTAGGAACCAAGCTAGGATCCTAGATGTCGTTGAAGGCTTGAGAATAATTCATTTTCACAGGCTCTAAAAGCTTTTCCCGTGGATACATCCGGTGGGAACGCATCGATGTAGGAACTTGGTGATAAATCTCCACTTCTCTTTTCTATGTTCTCCATCATATTGAGACTTAGATTCCAAAGCCGCGATGACGCTGTCAACGCCTTCATCATCAGCATCATCAACGATGACGACGACGATGACAAGGCGGCCGACCATTTGAAAGGATAGGGTCGTCGGTGTGTGTACATTAATCCGGTGCTGATCTACCCGGAAATGAATAGAGAGAAAACGAAGAACAATCAACTAAACAACGCCATCACCTTCTAAAGAGTAATTTGTTGGTGGCAGACTATGAAAGATTGGTGAAGTCAGTGGAAAAATAAGAAGATGGAAACGCTGCTCTCCGCATGAGAGCAAGAGCGCAAAAGTGAGAAGCCACCGCCCATCTTTCAGCTAAACCCAATGACGTGGAAAATCGAGTGTATGTGAATGTGGATATGTGTAAGAGTCTACATTCAATAGAGAGAAGAAGAGAGAAGAAGTCCGTGTTTTTCTGCGCAGTTTGAAAAATAAAAAGGATGCTTGTGTCCGAAAGAAAGGGACAATGAACTCTTTCTCTAGCTGACTTCTATAGGAATTAAAAGAACCAAATCCCTGTAGTCTACATAATGAGAACCTACACGAATATCCTTCGTCTTGGAATCCTCGAAGACCACGGAGCCCTCGGAGTCCGTGGGGTGGCAGATATCGTCGGTGGCGCAGAGGATGATCTGTTGATCGCCTTGTTGAATTTTCGCCACGCAGTAGACAGATACTCCATTTTTAGACACACAGTTCAATGTGTGGGGAGTGAATTCAACAAAATGTTGGGGCCAGAATAAGCCCGCGGCGGGCGCTTGTTTCGCCTTCCATGGATACTGTTCCCTAGCAGAGGCAGTTTTAGAGAGGGCACTCGAATGGAAAAAATTCAATCTAGACAGAGGAATGATGCAGGCCCTGATACTGAAAATTTGGCCGACGAAAGTGGGTGTAACAATCAGATAAGGGTCCCCCCTTATGTGCTTTTTGCATTTTTTCCAAAAATATCAGGGGGTGAAAATTTTCATAAGGCCCCCCCCCCTTAGTGTTTTGTCTCAATTTTTCAAAAATATCAGAAGGTGTATATTACATAAGAGTCCCCCCTTACGTCTTTTTCAAGTTTTCAAAAAATATCAGGGGGTGTTTACCACTCGTATTTGGGACTGGGAATGATGGTCTGAGAAGCTGCTCTGTTTGGGAAAAAAAAATGAAAAATGGTTCGTTCAGCTAGAAAATGGTCTTGGCTTATTTTTTAATTTCGAAAAAAAAGACGAGAATAAAAGAACCATCGGAACATACAGATAATATTCTGGTGAAATAAAGTCGGAGCTGTGGACAACTACCGTAGTCTGAAAAATTTTTTTCGTTTTAGGACTTTCAGCCACAGCCACTGGATTTCTCTTCCACAGTTTCGATTTGTTTTGTACCAGAATAATAAAGATATTCAAGAGCGGAGAAAACCAAACCGAGATCATTCAATTGTAGTGTTTTCGTGACTTTGGAAGATTTGAAAATGATGAGATAAGGTATGGATCGGTTCCAGAGTGTGGTTCCAGAGTGTGTATGTTGGAAGTATAAAAAAGAATAATGAGCCTTTCAAACTGAAGCAATGAATGCACGGAAATCAGGCTTACTCGAAGAGAGTTTAGAAAATCAAGGGGGTATAACTTTGAACGGAAACGAGGTCAAAAGTTAAGTAAAAACGAAAAATGAATAGAATATGTGTACTGTAACACTACCCAACAAAACGACGAGTACCTTATGATGTTAACAGCGAATTCTCGATTTGAATAATTTCCTATCGAGACCGGTTCGTTTGTTTCAGTGAGAGACAGAGAGAGGGACAGAAGATAGTTTCTTCCAGAGAATGCCAACTTTTTTCCCTCGAATACATTGAGCCTTGGTCTACAGTGGGCGTTTGTTTCGGGGCGCGACGAACACCCGGCAGCCGAACAAATATCGTAAGAGAAGATGGGGGATCGATTATGTATTTACTATATATTTCAAACGAGAAACAAGGCACACAAACTGTTATTTTTTCCTCCGACTAGTTTTTTTTCATCCAGCTTTATTGTGCAATTGGTTTCTCTGGGAAGAGAGGTACGGCAATACAATTCAAGCTAACGAATAGGTCATATCTGATGGGAAGACTATATTCCGATGGCAAGCAAGAAATGAACGAAAATCGAATTTTTAGTACCATAATATTTTTCCAGAACATCAGAAAATTGACGAACCTATAACTTAAAAGAAATTAACTCCAGTTTTCGAATACCGTATTTCATTTAATAGGAGCTCATTCAAATCCTCACATTTGAATTCATTTATCTCGATTCCTTTAAAAGATATGAAAAAGTTGTCAACTGATAAAATGGTGGTGACTTTATGAAACATATTCTATCAGTTGACACATTTTCGATATTTTCCATATAAATGCGGATAATAGAGTTCAAACTCGACAGCTAGGGGTTCCCTCTATAACAGGTTTTACAGCATATGGAATCCGAAATAATCGGGAATTCTTATAAGATTTGTTTGATCTGCAAGCCTTTCCGGACTTTAAATAACAGAAGAAAAAACTGAGAACTTTTTTTCTCTTTTGTATACATCACATTTGAGCCAAAATGGAAAACGATATTTTTTTAGTGTATTCGAAGTCTTTTCATCAAAACCAATAGAGTCGAGAAAAACGTGTGAAAGATTCCAGGGAAAGGGAAAAACGATTTAGCATTAACTTTGTTAAATGATTCCAATGAAAAATTTAAATGCTCGAAGTAATTGTAAAAAGGAGTCTTGGGAGCCCTGAATGGCCGAACGAATAAAATCCAAAAATGTGAAAGAAAAAAGGAGAAAGCGCAAGAGATCAATAGTTTGCTTCCTTTTTTTGAGTTGAGCGCCTTTCAACAACTACTTTTTTATGCACAAAACTTTTCGTTATGAGGAAGAGAAGAAGAGGAGAAAAATGAAAAGAAACAAATTCTGCTGGGGCAGTCTTCGAATCGGTTTTTATCTTGTTTTCTGTCATTTATCCGGATGAGAAAGGAGAAAAAACCAAGAAGGAATTAGATGATAGGGTTCATAGGGGGAAAAGTAAAAGGGTGGTAGTTGCTGGAGAAGAACAGTTTGTAGTTTGAGAACTCTCTTATCAGGAAACGAAATGAGCCGATTATCAAATAGGGGAAACTGTGACATTTACCACAAAACTAATTTGCCAGTTTTAGGATATTCTCTGCACTATTTCTTCTTGTAACTTTGAATTTTTTGGAATTGGGAGAAGAAGAAGGCAACATTCGAAAAAGGAGAAAAAATTGAAAAAAAAAGTTTTTCAGCTGGAATCTTGTAAATTCAGTCTGGTTTTCTTTTTTCACCTTTTTAAAAATCTGTTTGGAATTTGAAAATTCGGAAAAGAAGTAGAGAATTTTGAATTTATTCAATTTTCGCTCGAAACAAAAAGCGATTCTGGGTAGTTTTAAGCCACAGAATCTAAAACTCTTTCTATTTTTACTGGATTTTCCGAATTTTTCATGAAAAGATAAGTCAAAACTCACTTGAAACCTCGTCTCGAAATTATTTTCCTTCTTCTTCTCAACACGACGGAATCAACTCTTGGTGATACTTGCCCGTTGAACGCGTATTTACTCTTCTTTGTCTTCCAAAATCCGTTTGAGATTGATCTCCGACTGAAGAACTTCTGAAGATGATAAAAAGTTTTAAAATCATTATTTTTTTATAGCTCACCATATTATGTCATCCTATGGACCAATGATAGAAACCTGTCAGAACAGTGAAAGATTCAGCGAACTAAATCTAGAATTCCGATCATCGACACCCATGTATAGTTTCAGTGATAACCAGCACCAAAATCACTTCAATATGAAAAATTGATGAGAATCAAAAATAGCATAAAATGCTTTTATTTTAGAAATTGTGTTGTATGGAAAAAATTGTAAAAAATTTAGAGTTGTATTATGTTAGTAATCTTCCCGATCTCCTCTTCCCGGGAATCTGACACGATCTCTCATAGGACGCTCCACTCTTCCTGGCCTGATTGCATGTGCAGAGGATCCCATTCGTGACATCACATCGTCCTTCTCGTATTCTTTATCATCGTTCTTTCTTTTTTTCAACGGCGACGACTCATCGGATGCCAGCGAACTGCTTCCTTGGCCGAAAAGGAATCCACACTTCACAGCTCCTCGACCCTGAAATTCAATTTTATAGAATTATCCAATAATTAATAGATGATCGGCAGAACTCGATCATGTTATTAAGCCCTTTTATTTGTGGAATGCTTCCACTGAGGTAGTTATCTAGTCTCATAATGTAGAACGTTAGTTAATGAATACTGTATTTCCTCCAATAGAAGCCCACCGAAACCGTTAACTTGGAGCTCAATTAACTCGATTCCTGTGAAAGATATAAAAAGTTATCAACTGATAACAAACATATCTGTGATATTATGATAAATGATTCATCAGTTGAAATTTTTTTTGATATCTTTCGAAGGAATCGAGATAAATTAGCTTAATATTTACGGTTTAGGTTAGCTTCTATTAAAGGAAGTCCGTACGGTAATTTAAAGTAACTTTAATAAAATTCCAAATTTTTACCTTGACTTTGACACCTTGTGGTACACTGATTTTCTCTTTCTCCTCTTCTTTTTTGTCTTCTTCGTAGAACCGTGTATCATGCTCGTAATCCCACTCCAACTCTTTTCCATCTTTATCAAATACATTCAGTCCACCACGATTCGATGTCTCTTTTGTCCAGAAGGATTGATTTCCCCGTTTCACTCCAGTCTTCGGAACTTCACTACTACTCGATTTGACCATATCCTTAAAAAAGAAGAAGTATTTTCGAAACTTTTTTTTTGAAAGAACCTGATACTCATGATGAGTCGCAAAACGGATAATGACAAACATATTGGCTGGAACGTGCTTCGTCAACACTCTCCATTTTCCATTCGGAACTTCCCGAGAGCCAACATCCACAGTGACAAAGTCAGTCTTCTCGCTTGCTACTATCCCTTTCTCTGAAATAAAAGATTCGTCGTAGAGAATCTCCCTGTTTGGTATTATTTATTCCTTGTTGTTTGCATACAATTCTCGATTCTCTCAGCTCATCATAAAGAATGAAAATGTCAAAAGCAGAATAATCGCATAAGCAAACTTGATTACATCCGTTCATCCACACCATACTCGTGGCTCCTCTCTCTTTATTTACTCTCGCTCATCCCATTTTCGACACCTCCCCAAGTTGATCCTTTACTCATCGCAGTAACTCTAATGTGATTAGGCGGATAGATATGATAAACCTATGAAAATAAGAAAACATGTCAAGTTCGAGTGTAATCAATGCTCAGAAATAAGATAATCAGTTCCGGAATTACAGGGGAAAACTGATTGAGTTACCGTATTTCCTCTAATACCCCAACCGTCAACTTTGAGCCTCGATAATCTCAATTCCTGTGAAGGATATCAAGAAGTTGTCAACTGATAACATATGAGTGATATTACGATAAACAATTAATCAGTTGACATATTTTGATATCTTTCACAGGGATTGAAATAATTGAGCTCGAACTTGACGAATTGGATGGGCTTTTATTAGAGGAAATACACACAGTATGAAGGCTCGAGTCATAGAACTGAATTTCGAATTTCAAAAAAATTATAGCCGGTCCCCGATTCTCGATGTCTTTCAGTTGTTTCTTTCAATGGAATCCCTGTTGAGCCTATTAGTTTGACAGGCTTTTGTTTCTTTGAACATCGTTTCCGAGAACACTGTCACTAATTCTACTGGATAATCCCTAAATGAAGTCCCTCTCTTGTGGTCACAAATTTCTCAGAGATGTCTATATGATGCAGTGACGCGAGTTGACCCAGTATCCTGTTACTTCATTGTGCGATCCCTGTTGTGCTAACTGCTGCTGCTGCATCTCTATTCCAAAACAACGAATCCCGCGGTCCCCGACTTGTCGATCGAGAAGGATCGGTGACAAACGAACATGCAAACACAGTGGATCTCAATGAGAGTTGGGGTGTGGGGGGAGGGTTATCCACCCGACAACTGAATACAGTGTGAACTGTGTACTCGAGAACAACGACACAAAACAATGATACAGGAGGAAGAGGGAAACTAATAATGACAAATGTAAGCGGCAGTATTAACCGACTCAGTATGGATTGCGATAGAAACACTAAACTAACATAACACACATACGCTCTTTCTCGTTCTTTCTGTTTCGAGTACTATTATTCTATTGAATACGTTGTGTTGTTTGGAAATCGAAGAACGCGATGTACGTTTACAGGTGTGTGTGGGCGAGATGAACTATTGGATCCCTTTGAATTCAATACCTATAGACCTGCTCATTGTTTACATTCAAGCAGAATCAGAGTTTCGAATTCAACAATAACCACTCGACCCCTTGATGAAAGAAGAAAATTTTTTTTTCATAAACTATAAACACACAGCAATGTATCCTCCACTGGCATAGATTGTTTATTGGTTAAAGCGATTCTTGGCTACTCCATTATTTCTCTTTGCCTTTCAGCCTTGATTTTTACTCCAAATCAATCAGGAGAATTCAGTTCAACTAATAATATGCAATGTTGACAGCGCCCACATGCTTGTTCAAACATCACTTCCACAGATCCCCTCTACTTTCCAGCTGTGTAATCATCCAACATACCGTTCGGCTCCAAACCCTCAACCAGTTCCACATAATCATCCTTCTCTTCTTTGATTTGCCCGTCTTCTAGGTCATCATCGTCGGAAATCACCTCGCCGTCCTCGTTGGCCTTCTTCCGTCCACGCACACGACGCATCAGTTTAGACATGTTGAGCATCATCTGGAATTAAAAAAAAAACTAGAAGAGTTTCTTAAAAAATTGCTTACAGCTGCAGCTTCTTGTCTAAAGTGAAATTGTACAATTGCCACTTCGTTTTTCTTCCAAACTTTCTCCGGACGGAAATCAGCGAAGATTCTGAAAAAAAGATTGAAAGGAGTTTTGGAAATTTGAGATTAAGGGTACTTTTGGATCTCAAACTCGTCCATCGAATCGGCACCATGGACAAGAACACAATCCAATCTGGAGTTCAGATCTGTTGCTTCAAGTTCCTTTCGAAGAGCAGCAGCTTCAGCTTGTGAGATCTGGAATAAGCTAATCATCATCTTTCATGGGCAATTGTGTAAGGCTCCTGGACATTTCAGATCCTGATATTTGGTTTGCAAAAACCACTATGCAAAAATGCAGAAAAGTTTTGAAACGTCGTGTTTCGAAACGTCCGGGAGCCTTGTGTCACTATCTAGACTTGAAAATTCCTAAATTCTGTCCTTACTCCATGTTTATGAAATTAATGTTCACATACCCCATTTTTACAGCTCTTTATTTTTTTCTCTGTCCGCTTTTCATCTATTATTCATGTAGAGTCAACTACTACTGTGGTCTCTTCTTTGTGAGTGTATGCGACTTTGGCATGTCGTTCAGCTTCTCTTTTTTCCCCATCCAGGCCTTTTTGAAACTCCAATTTCACTCGAAAATCCCAGCTTTGAAAAAGAAACGTTTTTTTCTTTCTATTAACACCCTATGCCCTCTGCCTCTCTCTTTCCAGTATACAGCCCTTTAGTTGGTGTGTGCCCCTGGAATAGGAGGAAACGAAAAGAACAAAGCAAAACGAAACGGCGTGACGAGGTTACTAATTACATATTATGTAGATGCTGCTACTGGCTGCTACTGGAGATGCGAACTGAAGGAAAATATGAATAAAGAAATATAGAGAAAAGACTAGACTCCGAAAATCCGGCACCAACATTTGCAGACAATAGGATCGGAGAAAAAGTACACCTTCCGCGCGGTCCGACTAATGAGAACGTTAATGTGCTGGTAGAGAAGGCAAATTAATTCCAAACAATCTACTGTCAATTAGGAATACTGTAACGGCTGGGGACATCTGAACGTGTTGGACGTTTCCTTCCTTGAAATTGATCAATCTAAAAGCCTTCTTGGAATCTCTTGTCGTTACCCGCGAAGGACGAAACCACGATTAAGATGAAATTGACAGCGAAGGGAAGCGATGCTAAAAAAGAAAGAGATGAAACCCTTGGTGTCTTGAGCAACCAAGCGGCAAACACTTCATTTTATGCATGATACGACTTGTTTCTTTTTGCTTCTTCTATTCCGGCTCCTTTTAGTGTGACGCCGTGCCGGCACCATCGAAACCACACAAAGTTGCCGTCTCATCGCTTACTTGTTATCTTGGCACTCAGGCGGCGCCACGATAATTGAGAACCAAATTGAGAAGGCACCACAGAAAAGAAGAAGAAAGAAGAAGGCGCCTATTACCACAGAAGCGAATTTGAGGCGACAAACAAAAAATGAATAAAAAATAAAAACTCACACATAGATGCTTCTCGTCTTCTTCGTTGATTCCGAATGCTTTTTCGGTGGCGATTTTCTCTTTTCGGTCGATAATTACATCAAGTCGATCCTGGAAAATAATTCATAGATTTTGAGTTTCCTTTATGTATACAGTAATCATTGGATACTCGCAAAAGGACTGGAACGAGCCGGAAACGAGCCTATTGGATCTTTGATCAGTATGTTGCGCATGAAATAGGTTACTCTTACAGAACTGATAGAGGGCAGGCCGCGGCTTTCAGCAAAATTTGTGGTCCGTAAATTTTTTTAAAGATTCATCTTTGCAGATAGTATCATATTGTAGTACTAGCCAAATTATATCAAGTCTACAGTAGGTCGAAAAATTGGGCCTCAAAAAAGCTTGGCCCAGTTCGTTGTTGGTTCGTTTGCAAACATGACTATTATATTTTTTTCAATAGACCCTGATCAATCATTTCCATAGCGAAATTTGTAAGAATTTTCCTCTTCTTTTTCCCATTCCAGCTGCACATATTTTCCGTTTTATTGCCACTTTCTCATGTGACAAAAAGCAAACCGCACAATTGTTCCCTACAGTATCCTATGCCACAAAAACGAAAAATCAGCAATAACTCTTTTCAACCACCGCCACTGCCACCACAATACGATCACTTTAATCGGGGACGGCCTCATAAATTCGGACCGATTTTCATCTTTCTCTGTGTGTATATATGTATGCGTCCGCATCTCCCCAGATTCTGTATCTTTCTCTTTTTTCCACACAGCATTTCCTTTTTTTCATTTTCTAACCATTTGCGGCGCCGCTCCTCGCTCACAAATTTCATGAGGATGCATGCGTGCGTGCTTGGTCTCTCTTTACTTGTATTAAGTTTCAAAATTGAGATCATGTTCAGGGAAATGTGGAAAATGACTCATTCCGAATGATTGGTTAGAATAAAAAGATAATTAAAACTATAGTCCTGGCATAGTCCTGAAAAAATGGGATATGTGATAAAAGGAAATGATTCATAAAAACAGAATCACGAGGGGGAAGCTGGAGTCATGTTATTTCAGATTCCCATGTTTCTATGGGATGCCACGTCATTTCATAAAAAATGCAACATGCGGGTACTCGATCAATGAGAGCCAGATGCGTCCGTGAACAAATTGCCGAGACTCTCTGGCGCCGGATGCCAAGATGCAATGTCGTTCCAGGCGAACAAGCACACTGAGCCAATTTTTGCTGCTTCCCTCTATTCGAATACCAATCACACTTGGTTATCGCGTGCTACCCGAGCATTCTATATAGATCATTTTGTAGTCGAAGAGTTGAAAAGGCCACAGCTATACAACTAATCATAAGGTTCTCCCGCTCGCAAATTGTGCATTTTGTCTTGGTAATTATTTCGGCGAGCAAAATAAGGGTACGGCATGCCACGCTAATCCGCAAGGTTGCTAGGATACCATCTCTCAAGTGAATTTGGGTGTCGTTCTTTACCCAGATTATTGGTCGACTATAGTGGAAAACGAGGTGGAGGAGTGCCTGAATCCTAGCGTAGTTATACGGTAGCCGCCAACATCAAAAACGATTTAGAATCACAAAGCGGATCGTTTGAATTGAATTGAATGTTGTCGAAACCTTGTATGAAATATGATTACACACAATTACATCATCATTAATATATAATTGGCGCGACGACGTACCACAACAGCATTGTGAATGAGCGCGAAATAACTGCCCCAGCCTCTGTCACAAATGTACAACACATCGATGTGCGCCGTCTTCTTCTTCTTCTTCTTCCTTTTTTTCTTCTCCTCGCTCCACTTTTCAACATCTTTCCAGCTCTTTTAAATAAAATATTCTTCACATACACACACGGACATATACACAACCAAACAGAGCGACCTGATGAGACAAAGCTTCTCAGAGTACCATAGTATCACTTTTTCAGTATTTCTAAAAAACTGACCAAAAGGCCAACAACAACAGAGCAAAGTATGGGTGTGTTCCGGCACACCTGAAACTTTGCTCACCTACGACATTCTGACAGCGAGGTTGAGACGAAAGTATCAGGCGGCCGGGTGGGCACAACCTGTGGAGAAATCTCCAGGATTAAGTGGAATAAAGGATAGTCCTCTTTAGACTGGAATAGGGGACGACCATGAATGGGGATGGAGATGCACCAAAGCGCCATGGGCACGAGAACACGACTGAAGGCGCGCGCCTTCGCTCACATACACATAAACTGAGTAGGGGACGAGAGGAAGGGGAGACACATTCGACGACCGCTCATATTGAGGGTGGAATAGGAGGACGAGGAGCGACGAAGAATGAGCGGGGCAAGAGGATGGATGGAGGAGGCGAGAGGAGAGGGCGCGCACACAGCCAAAAGGGGCGGGACCCCGGACTCCTCCCCACCTCACGTTTCAGATAGCTTTGAGCTTTAGATTCTACGGAGTGGTGTCAATGAAATGGGCGGAGTAATTGTTTGGAACCCAGTGTTGTGGTCTCATAATTTGAGGTGGAAAAGCCAAAGGAAGAATGAATATGCAAAACAAAAGTGATGATGGTATGGGCTTCGTGTGAAACTAGAATGGGAAGAATCAACACATAATCTCGTGATGCAAGTCGCATCATGCAACACAAGAAAGTAAACCAACAATGCAGAGTTAGGAGAAGTCAAGAGAGTAGCTGAGAATGAATCCTAAACTGTAACAGGCAGCTGAGGCTATCTGAAAAAGGAAAACGAGCTTCAGTGGCAGCTTGAAAAAAATCTAACCGGTCATTTAAATGCGTCCATATTGGGTTACTGAAACAAAATTATTGTGATGAACCAGGACGATGCAAGCATTGTTGCCACGACTGCAATTGTCACTTTTGCTAGTCTAAGTTCTCAAACTGTGTAGTCCTCGTAGCAGTGTGTAGTTCTCGCTCAACTCGAATTTAGAATCTCTGATCATTTTAAACGTGCCGAAACCCAAAAAAAAAACAATCCCGATTATCACCCAAATGCCACGTCACGATAATTATATATGGGAAGGCCATCTACAATCCTCGGCATTGTCATAAAACTTTTTGTGTCATCGAGTTGTTAGACAAATATTTCCGCGGCGCGGTTCGGTTCGGAAGAGACCACCACCTACACCGCAGACGGTATTGAATTGGAGGGGAGCAACACAAGGACACGCAATGAATGGCCTGACGAAAAGAGGCACAATAGAAGGGGCTCTCCTTCTCTGTCAAACCCCACCGCTCCGACAGTCTTTCTTCTCTTCCTCTTTTTCTGTATTTCTTCCTTCACTTTCCTCCGGACGTCGTCATCGTTGCCCCGGTCACTACCTTAACCACTAGGCTGTTTGTGTTCAATTACCGGCGCGCATTTGTGTGTATGTTCGCGTGTGTATGAGAAGATGAGATGAAGAATAAAGAAAAATGAGAGAGACTGAGAATATGCTGCTATAATTACACACAGAAAACCACATATTCTGGATAATGCGCACTGCGCATGCCGGACCAAGTGTCGTGTCAACGATTCGGCTTAATTTTGTAACATAATGAGGTTGTGTGTTATGACATTCAAGATGACCTCCTGAGACAATAATGAAGAATCAAACTTTGCACTTTGAGGAGATGGGATGAAGTGGGAAGAGGAACTAGCAGTAAACTACACATCATTTTCAGACAATGAATATTCACTAGAATTTTACTGGACTAACAATAGCGGCTGGATAAGGCAGAGAAAATGATCATTAATGCCTCTTATATTTTAAATCACACTGGTAGGGTGGCGTATAAGGATTTTACGATATATTTGTTATCATTATACAGGAAATCATACAGGGAAAGAACCAAGAAGCGAGCTGGGCAATTCGAGAAAATGCGAAACATAACTCACTTTCGGCTGACGTGGAACTTCATCGTCAATGGAGTCATCGCCGATGTCGTCATGCATCGAATTGTCAGATCCATAGTCAAGCTCGTCGTCCATGAGAAAACTGAAAAAGTTTTTGCAGAAAATACAGCGAACTATTGCGAAATCCTCAAGATAACATAGAAATATACAACGATGGATTTTTTACAGTCGAGGAGCTTATAGAAATTAGAAATTATAGTCAAAGTCAAGAAAAACCAAAAGTATATGGCATATGAAATTAAGTACGGGATTTCTGAATTCTTAGAATGTTTTTCAAGTAACAATAATTATAGAGAAGCGATGATGTTGTTTTCAATAATTTCTCATCAAAATATTGATTGACAATTCAGCGAAAACACAAAAAAGGAAGGAAAACAAAAATCTGAAAATCAATATTTAGGTAGAAAAAATATAATTCGAACAGCGCGCCGAAAGTTTTGGCTTTAGGGCGCATTTGCTGAGAGCTGAAAACCTCAATTTTGCGCGGCAAAACAAACCAGAATTTCGAAATTCTAGGTTTGCCAATTTTTCGAAGTCGTTTTTCTCGTTTTTTGACGTTTCTAGCTGTTTTTTTTAGGAAAAAAAGTGTCTCATAAGCTTCCATGTATAGATCGCTATCAAATGTATAGAAATCAGCAAAATATTCGTTCGATTTCAATGTTTAAAAGCGCTATTGACCTTTTCAGTGAACATCTTCCTAGGGAGCTCCCTCAATGACTGATATTAATGTATCCTATTTTTCCTATATTATCTTTTGATCCAGAACATGTTTTTTGTACAATTTTATTCGAATAAATCTTACTCGCGCTACACCGTTAGGGCACATTTGCTAACCGTTTTATTAAGCGATTTTTTGTTGCATTTCTATAGAATTCATGAATCCTCCGTTTTCATAACTTTTAATAATGGTCATCTGTCAGAAATGTCCACTAAACGACCAGGTGGAACTTCGTTTCAACCAGAAGTGAAGCGCAAACGCGAAAGTGACGAATTCGAGCAGTGTTACGTGGTAAGTCTGTCTAAATGGTTTTATAATGGTTCGTAAACTATTTTTCTTACTATTAGAGTTGAAGTTGTATTTGACTAAATCAACATTTCATAAGTTCACTATTTTCAGCCTAAATTCGAAAAGGATCTGCCAGCATGCCCCAAAATCGACAAAACCGGCTGGGCCAGGCCTGCAGTCGAAAAAGATCTTGGAATCACCAAAAATATTGCATGTCAAGTGCTAGAAGTTGAAACATATCATGAAGATGGTTCCGCGACAACTTATGATAGAACTAATGTGAAGTTGTATGGTGTAACGAAAGCAGGAAACTCGATCTGTGTCATTGTCACTGATTATTTTCCTCATTTCTACTTCCAGGTAAAAGATTTCACTGTTTCAATGTTCATACAAAATTGCACATTTGCAGGCTCCACAAGGATTTGGAGTCGAGCACATTGGAGTAGCTCAGTCTGCTATTTGTAACATGGTTGCGGCTGCCAAACGCAGAGGAGGTAGTGGACAAACTCAGTTGCCTGGAAATGTTGTTGATAATCTTGTCCATCTTGAAATTGTCCATGGAGAAAATCTCTACTACTTCCGTGGTGCTGATACCAAAGTTCCATTCGTCAAAGTGACCGGCTCAACAGAAGCACTGAACAAAGCTCGTCAAGAACTGAAGAATGGAGTCAATTTGATGGGAAAAGGACCAGTGAATGTCGGAAACTTGTACGAGTCGAATATCAACGCGGTGGTTATGTTCCTAGCAAAAACGAACATTGCCGGGTGCGGATGGATTGAGGTTTAAAAGTTTTAGGGAAGACAAACAACTGTTTTCCATTTCTAGATCCCGGCCGGAAAATGTAAAATTCTACCCAACTCTGAGAAGTCGTCTCGGTGCCAAATCGAAGTTTCCATCAATGTCAAGAATCTGATCGTCCACGAAAGCGATGGAGAATGGGCCGGAATCGCCCCAATCCGGTAATTTTTGTGAAAAAAAAATCTTATGAGAGACGAGAAATTTCAGTACTCTATCGTTGGATATCGAGTGTATCGGTCGACGAGGTATTTTCCCCGAGGCAATCAAAGATCCAATCATTCAAATTGCCAATCTTGTGAAAGTTGAAGGAGAATCTGAGCCCTTTGTGCGAAACTGCTTCGTTCTCGGAACTTGTGCTCATGTAGTTGGGTCCAACATCATCGAATGTGTCAATGAAAAAGTGCTTCTGGAGAAATGGGCGGAATTCGTTCGTGAAGTTGATCCAGACATCATTACTGGCTACAACATTCTGAACTTTGATCTTCCTTACATTTTGGATCGTGCCAAAGTCCTTTCACTTCCTCAAGTTTCTCATTTGGGTCGTCAGCGGGACAAGGGGTCCGTTGTCCGGGACGCAGCTATCTCATCGAAGCAAATGGGTAGCAGAGTCAACAAGAGTATCGATATTCACGGAAGAATTATCTTCGACGTATTGCAAGTGGTACTTCGTGACTACAAACTTCGTAGTTACACCCTGAACAGCGTCTCATACCAGTTTCTATCTGAACAAAAAGAAGATGTCGAGCACAATATCATTCCTGATTTGCAACGTGGAGACGAGCAAACAAGAAGACGTTTAGCTCAATATTGCTTGAAAGATGCCTATCTGCCACTTCGCCTTCTTGATAAACTGATGTCGATCATCAACTACATCGAAATGGCAAGAGTCACTGGGGTCCCAATGAACTTTCTACTCACCAAAGGCCAACAAATCAAGGTTAGGATAGTCTGATAAACTCAAAATCAAAGAAAATTTACAGATCCTATCCATGATGCTCCGCCGTTGCAAACAAAACAATTTCTTCCTTCCTGTGATTGAAGCTAATTCTGGCGATGGAGAAGGATATGAAGGGGCAACTGTCATTGATCCGATTCGCGGATTTTACAACGAGCCGATCGCAACTCTTGATTTCGCTTCACTGTATCCGTCCATTATGATTGCTCACAACCTCTGCTACACAACTCTTCTCAAATCTCCACAAGGAGTTGAAAACAAGGATTATATTCGCACACCATCTGGACAATATTTTGCAACCAAATCCAAGAGACGTGGATTGTTGCCAGAGATTCTTGAAGATCTTCTAGCTGCCAGAAAACGAGCGAAGAATGACATGAAGAATGAAAAAGACGAATTCAAGAGAATGGTGTACAACGGAAGACAGCTAGCTTTGAAAATCTCAGCCAATTCAGTTTATGGATTTACTGGTGCCACCGTTGGAAAACTACCCTGTCTTGAGATTTCTCAATCTGTCACTGCATTTGGTAGAAAAATGATCGATATGACTAAATCAGAAGTTGAACGAATCTACAAAAAAGGAGCTCTCGACGGAAAATGCCCTGCTGATGCGAAGGTTATTTATGGAGACACAGATTCGGTGATGGTTAAATTTGGAGTCGAAAATGTTGCGCAGGCAATGGAAATCGGTTTGGAGGCTGCTAAAGAAGTCAGCAAGATTTTCACTCCACCGATCAAGTTGGAATTCGAAAAAGTCTACTTCCCGTATCTTCTTATCAACAAGAAACGTTATGCTGGTCTTTATTTCACAAAACCTGAAGTTCATGACAAAATGGATTGCAAAGGTTTAGAGACAGTACGTCGTGACAATTGCCCGTTGGTCGCCAAAGTTCTTGGAGTATGTCTTGAGAAGTTGCTCATCGATAGAGATCAACAATCTGCTTTGGATTTCGCCAAGAAAACTATCAGCGATTTGCTCTGCAACAAAATTGATATTTCACTTCTGATTATCAGTAAAGAACTGACAAAGTCTGGAGATGTAAGTATTTCTTTTCGATTCTCTTATTGGAACAAAAACTTATGATTTCAGAAATACCAAGCGAAACAAGCGCATGTGGAGTTGGCAGCACGAATGAAGAAACGCGACGCTGGTAGCGCTCCTAGACTTGGTGATCGTGTGCCATACGTCTTCGTGGCGGCTGCAAAGAATGTACCAGCTTACGAGAGAGCCGAAGATCCAACATTTGTTCTCCAAAATAATATCCCACTCGACACAAAACACTACTTGACTAACCAACTGGCAAAACCACTTGCTAGAATCTTTGAACCAATTTTGGGAGATCGAGCAGAGAAGATTCTTGTTGAAGGAGAGCATACCAGAGTTCGAACAGTGGTTCAGAGCAAAGTTGGAGGGCTCGCAGCATTCACAAAGAAATCGGCGACTTGTCTCGGATGCAAAAGCGTCCTTCCGAAAATGGAATCTGAAAATGCAGTTTGTAAGCATTGCGAACCAAAGTTGCCAGAAATTTATGCATCTCGGTAGGGATCTTTCCAATTTTGAAAGCTTTCAATTTCATTTTTTCCAGACTGACTACTATGCACGAGCTGGAAAATCATTTCGGTCGACTTTGGACAGAGTGCCAAAATTGTGCTAAAACAATGCAAGATAAGGTCAACTGCTCGGCTCGTGACTGTCCGATCTACTACATGCGTGAGAAAGTTCGCAACGAGCTTTCAGAAGCTAATACCGTTATGCAGCGATTCGGAGATCCCTGCTTTGCACCGCCAAAAATATAATTTCTTACTTATCCTGGTTTGATGATTGATTGATACCTGTTTTACTGTGAATGATCTTAATTTCTAAATGTTCATCTCATCTTTTTTTTCTATTGTCTTTTTCTACTGGTCATTCTCACATCATAAACTCTTCTCGATTCAAACAAGTTATTTTTTTTATCAACCAGATGCGATATCGCTTCAAATATTTGAAAGTTAGTGATGTCTTTTGGGATCGAGATTCAAATAATTTCAGGTCAGATGATTATACGAAAAGCAGCGTTCTTCTTAGTTTTAGCCACAATAGTTTTTGCGTCTGACGATCCCAAGGATTCTGAAAATGCAAAATCGTCAATACGGTTCACACCGAAACTCATCAGCTCATACCGAGAAAAAGTTCGTCGAATGTTTTACCATGCTTATGATGGATACTTGAACCACGCATTTCCATTGGACGAGTTGAAACCGATTACTTGTGTTGGACAAGACACTTGGGGATCCTTCTCTCTATCTCTGATTGATGCCCTAGACACTCTTTTAGTGATGGGAAACAACACAGAATTCCGAAGAGCTGTCACATTAGTGCTCGAGAAGGTTCGTGATGATGCAAACGTCAATGTATCAGTGTTTGAAACCAACATTCGAGTGGTTGGAGGGCTGATTTCTGCCCATATGTTAGCTGGGAGACATAAAGGTAGGAAATGAACTATTTGATTTCTGTTCTAGTCTCAATTTTCAGATCTGGTCAAAGAGTGGAAAGGCTATCCATGTGATGGACCGCTTCTGAAGCTAGCGGTGAAAATGGCTGATCGTTTGATGCCAGCATTCAACACAGATACTGGGATGCCTTATGGAACTGTGAATTTGAAGTATGGAGTTCACAAAGATGAAACCCCGATTACTTGCACTGCTGGAGTTGGAACATTCATTATTGGTAAGGTCGTTCGATTTGCCTGGTTTTCAACTTTCGTCATAGCTTTTCAGAATTCGGAACACTTTCCCGATTAACTGGTGACGATAAATACGAGAAGGTTGCCTTGAAAGCTCTGGATGCTCTATGGTCCACTATATCTCCGATTGGACTTGTTGGAAATCATATCAATGTTCAGACAGGACAGTGGACAGCCACAGACTCTGGGATCGGAGCCGGCGTTGACAGTTACCTCGAGTATCTGGCAAAAGGATCTTATCTGTTCAGAAGACCGAGTCTCATGAAACAATTCCACGAACATGCAACATCGATCAACAAGCATGTCAGAAAGGGTGACTGGTTTATGTGGGTTTCAATGGCCAAGGGAGCTGTCTCACTACCCATCTTTCAATCTCTCGAGGCCTTCTGGCCTGGAACGTTGACTATGGTTGGAGACGTTCAAGACGCTTCTCGGATCATGCTACAGTACTCGGAAATTATTAGAAAGTACGGTTTCCCACCGGAATTCTACAATATACATAACGAAGAGCCAGTTGACAAAAGATCAGCATTCCCATTAAGACCAGAGATGGTTGAGTCTTTAATGTACCTATATCGAGCTACAAAAGATGAAACATGGCTAGAGTTAGGAGCAGAAATTGTTGACGTGAGTTGTTTTGAGCTGAAAAATATTGGCCTCCTTAATTTTCGTTTTTCAGGCCATCGAATCATCGGCTCGTACAAAATGTGGTTATGCAACAATCAACAATGTCAAAGAGCACAACATTGAGGATAGAATGGAATCGTTCTTCCTAGCTGAAACAACTAAATATTTGTACTTGTTGTTTGACCCGGAAAACTTTATTCACTCAAAAGGAGATCAAGCTCGAATTTTTAAGAGTTCGAAGAATCTTACATGTATTCTGTATGGAGGTGGTTACATTTTTAATACTGAGGCACATCCAGTTGATCCTGGGATGTTGGACTGTTGTAGCATTCAAGCGAAGCGGGAGCAAGAGGTTGGAGAGAAAGAGGTATAGAGTTTATCTATGGAGTCTATGGAGGTATGGAGTTTTATGCAGTTTATGTTTCAGGTCAGCACAGGGGATCATCTGGAAAAACGAAACTTGACTGAGAAAGGAGGAGAGAAGTATTATGAGAATCAATACGGGAAAAAGGAGGAATTGATACAATATGAAGTGGATGAAAAGATGAAAGCAGAGGCAGAGAAAAAGAAGGCAGAAGAGAAATCACAGCAGGCTATGGATAAAGTGCGAACTTTCTTGATGAGGGCATATCTGAAGGATGAAGCAAAGCAAAGGAACGGAGAATCTTCGGATTCGGCAAAACAACTTCTTGATCAACTTCTAAAAGCGTATCCGAATCACACTCAAGAGCTAGAAAATGTCAACAAGGAGGCTCTTTATCTGTTTGAAGAACAACAGCATTTAAATGATATTCGAGATATAGTCAAAGATATTCCGATTCCTGACCTCTTCTGCAATGGATGTTCCTATCCTCTTCATGAAATTGTCGATTCTGTGGCACTCCGGGTGATGATGGCTGATATTTATGAATATCATATCTATCCAAATAGAAAGGTATGTTTATAAAGAACTACTGCTTTTAACTTCTTTTTTCAGGTAAAATTCCATCACGGTCCAGTATGTTGGTTGGAAGAAACCCCTAGAATAGAGGACGACTACAAAAATGAGCCACCCAGTGTTCACACCGACAAGTGGAATAGTGCTCTCTTCGATAGCGATATGGTGGTTTTGAGCAATTTTCTTGGAGACGATGACATTGAAGAAATTCGAAAGTTCGGCTTCAAATACTTGCTTGCTCCTGGTTATAAGAATATAGATAGACGGATAGGTGGACAGAATATAGCTTTAAAACGGAAAAAGGCGTGGTATTATGAAGTCTAAATATATCCAGATTAACGGGTTTTCTCTCTTTTTCCGTTTAATATATCTAAAACTAGTCTGCTCATAGACTGCTGTGCCTTTTATAATTGTATATATGATCGGGTGTATTCGATTTTTCTGTGATATTTGTTATATTTTGTAATTTTGTTAAATTTTAAAAATAAATGTGGTATTCTGAAATTTATTGGTTCCTATTACATAATTGGGTCTTTCACCGAAGGTTCCCCATTCGGTTTATTTTGTTTTCAGAGTTTTCCAGCATTACCTGACCATAATTTCAGAATGATAACGGCAAAACATTTATCAGCAGGATGTCGAAGGTTGTTATCCACGTCCTCATACACTGTAAGATCCCATACTTGTGGAGAACTAAATGCTTCAAATAAAGGTAAGATATTGAACAGATTATAATAAAAGTCCATCGTTGATTCAGATGAAAAAGTGAGCGTAATGGGTTGGTTATCACATAAACGAATGGATCGATTTTTCGTATTACGGGATGCTTACGGTTCTGTTCAAGCCACGATTCCAGAGAATTCTGAACTCAAAAGACTTCTAAAAGATCTTCCTTACGAATCCATCGTTCGAGTTGATGGAGTTGTGGTCGATCGAGGAGAGAATCGGAATAAAGCAATGAAAACTGGTGATATCGAAGTATTCAGCAATATTCATCAAAGATAGCATTCCATTAATTCAGATTGGCGTCAAAAAACTAACAGTGCTGAACAAGGCTGTATCAAACCTTCCATTGCTCCCAGGTGTTAATGCAAATGAGAGAACCCGACTGAAATATCGCTACATCGATTTAAGATCCGACAAGCTTCAGAGATCCCTTCGCATCCGATCAGAATTCGTTCACAATCTCCGGAAGTTTCTCGTGGAGAAAAGTGGATTCGTCGATGTGGAAACGCCGACACTTTTCCGTCGTACTCCAGGAGGAGCCACAGAATTCGTCGTACCCGCGCCATCTCCAAATCATGGAATGGCCTATTCATTACCTCAAAGTCCTCAACAATTCAAACAGCTTTTGATGGTTGGAGCCATTGATCGCTATTTTCAGGTATTTCTGAATGGAGAAACGGAAAAAAAAACTTTGATTTTTCAGATTGCTCGATGCTATCGAGATGAGGGCTCCAAAGGGGATCGACAACCGGAATTCACTCAAGTCGACGTGGAAATGTCATTCACAACGCAAGAGGGTGTAATGCAGTTAATCGAAGACATGGTCATATCCGCTTGGCCCGAATCTCTGAATCATATCAAACCCAAATCTCCATTTCCAAGAATATCGTACTCTGGAGCCATGGCAAAGTATGGAATCGATAAACCAGATATGAGAATTCCGTGGGAAATTGAAGATGTGAAGAGTGGTATTTTTAATTTTTTGAAAAAGAATGATTGCGAGAACTGGAGAGCCAGAGTAATTGTTTGTCGAGGAACCGGAAAAACTTCAATTTCGAATTCAATCAAAAACGAATGGAAAAGATTGATTCAGATGAACGAAAATGGAAGAAATTTTGCGATTTGTCATCCTTCACAGAAAAGTTGGTTCAAATCAGTGGAAAATCAGAAAATTGTGGACGAATTTGTATTGACGGAAGATGATGTTCTCATCGTATGTTGGGGACACTCTGATGGTGTTTATTGGACCTTGGGTATTTTTTTTAGTTTTATACTCTTTTTCAATTTCAATTTAAAGGCCAACTTCGCAACTACGTAGCTGAAGTTTGTGGTCTCCGTTCAGAAGGTGGCGTAACTGCTCATTGGGTTGTCGATTTCCCACTTTTCTCATTCGAAGAAGGTCAACTTGTGTCGACCCATCATCCTTTCACTGCTCCAGTTGAGAAAGACAAAGAAATGCTTTTCGAGTCGGACAATCAGAAACTTCTTCAAATCACTGGACAACACTATGATTTGGTGATGAATGGAGTTGAAATGGGTGGCGGCTCAGTTCGAATTGAAAACTCTGAAATTCAAAGGCATGTTCTGAAAGTGCTCGGAGAGCCTACAGAAGAAATGGAGCATCTTTTGAATGCATTATCTTATGGAGCACCACCACATGGAGGATTTGCTTTGGGGCTTGATCGATTTGTGGCAATGCTAGCTTCAGATGGAAATCCCTTAACACCAGTTCGTGATGTTATTGCGTTCCCCAAAACGAAAAACGGAAAAGATCTGATGAGCGATGCACCGACAACTCTTTCTCAAAAGCAATTGCAGAGGTTAGTGCAGAGAAACTTTCATGCTCATTTTTATTTGAATTTCAGATATGGAATCACACTACGATCAGATGCAGATAGCTGATTCCTTAATCGTTTTCTCAAAATTAGGAACCTAGAATGTTGTTGTTTCTTGTTTTCATGTTATGATATTCTGTCAATGAAAAAAACCATTTATTTAAAAAGAAGAAAAAAGATTCATTTCAAGTTGAGAAAGCGAAAAGAAAATGTGGGTAACCCTTTATAAGAAGCCGGTGATGATGACAGACAAGAGAATGGAAAAAATGACAAACGAGAATAAGATTTGAAGCAGATTGTAACTAACTTATTTTTTGGTACTTATTAAAAATTAATGATATAGCTAAGAGACTTTTTTAAAAATGGAACAGGGATCGAAAAGAAGACAACGTGGCAAATTGGAATGGAAGTGATTACTGTAGATGGGTGACATAGTTCGATGGGAAGATGCCTCGTCGATTGTTGAGTTGTCCTTCCCACCAGTTCGAATCAGTTTTGTCGATTACTGAAACAGAAATAGATTTTTGCGATAATACTGCAAAAAAAACTCACAAATAATAACATCTCCTCTCTTGAAAGCCAACTCTTCACTTTCTTGTGGGTTGAAATCAAAAAGCGCCTGAACGAATTTCACCTCAATGGTCATATCCGATAATAGTAATGTGTGGGTCCTCGAAACAGACGCTGTTCTAAAATTACGGAATAAAGAAATAATAGTCTAGAAATTTTCTTGCCTGTGATATCTGACTAACTCGTTCAATGAATTGTGTTTTTCGGTCCACAGATAGTATTTTCCGCCTTTATCGCGCAGGACTTTGAAGTGTTGGATGGAGTCTTGGAATCTGAAAAACTAAGAATAGAAAATGGAAAATCAGCTTTGAATACAAACCGAACACTGACTGAAAACTCTCCCGGACTGCTCTCACATTGTCGAACCAAGAAATTACCATCTTTTACATTTTTTCGTTTCAGTAGCACTTCCGCGTCGTTTCTGGTTATTTTTCCGAGGTACCTAGAAATATTGGGGCCTTTTCAACTTCAAGATGAGTATTTTTAGCTTGATAACAGATTTAAAAAGTATAAAGTCTCACCATGGGCACTCCCTCATTCGAATGAAATTCGATGGGATGAATCCTTCATGACCATCCAGTTCAGCTTTGAACCAATGCGGATCTTCATCTTTGTTGAGAACTTTCAGAATATTGCCACGTCGAAAAGAAAGCTCATTGTTCGGACCAGCTTGAAAATCGTGCTCGGCGATCGCCTCCATTTTTACTCTTCCTGAAAATTTACAGATTTTTTGGACGGTTCGAAAGCTGGTTGAGTGAAAAAATGTTGCAAAAGGAATCAGCAATTATTATGCTGATTTGCCAATATCGGAGCTGTGGAAGAGAAAACCGGGGGATACCCGCCGCAGCCGAACTACTGTAGTTTTAGTTACGGGAAACGTTGTCCATGATCACAAGCTCTTCTCTTCCACAGCTCCGATTTTTTTAAAAATACAAACATAATAATCGCATTAGAAGTATCGAGCAATTGAAATTACAAAAACTAATGAGTGTACTAGAGAACAAAAAACTCCAGGTTAAAAAAGAGAGTCCAAAAATTGTTTCAGGAAAACAAAAACAGTCAAATAGAAGAAAACTAAACCACTTGTGGAATTTCTTCCAACATTGAGAATAACCTCATCGTTTGAAGAGAGGAGGCTGGAAGAAAACGGGAAGGAAGTGCAAGAGAAGAAGAGACGTAGGAGGAGAGACAAAAGAGGAAAAGGGTCACTTGTACATTGTGTGAAGGGGTTTTCTGCATGAATAGGGGGGAAGAGAATGGAGGTGCGAGGAGAAGGTGTCATCCGGTATGATTTATGGCTTCCTTCAGACAATAAAGCATGATAATAAATAATAAATGAAGTTGTCAGTGTGGTAAAGGATGAGGTGAAGAAGATTTAGCTGTTTTGTTGAGGTTATATCGGAAATAGGGAAAATGTTATTCCGGTACAAAAAAGCAGAGATGTGGAAGAGGAACACCGTTGGCCGGAGCCGATAGTCCCACAGCGACATCTACCGTAACTTAAAAATCGTTTTATTTTCATGATTCATTCTCTCGTTTCTTCTTTTCGACTTTTATGTTATTTTTTCGCGAACAAATCGGAAAATAAAAATGTTTAATAGTGAAAAAAAAATGATTGGAAACACACGAAAATAAAAAAAAATCCGAAAATTATAATATTTTTAGGTTACTGTAGTTGTTCTCTTCTACCGTTTCGATTGTTTGTACCAGAAAAATAGGGGAGAGGAAAATATGTCAGTTTGGATGTAAATTAACACGTTCAACTAAAAGTAACTGATGGTAGCTAGAGTGAGGTACTGTAGTCATCGAGGAAAGTTCTTAATTTTTCGTTTGAGGTTGATTTAAAATCGCAAAAAGTTACAATAGAATCAGCTCGGTTGACTCCAAAATTAAGTGGTAGGAAATGGAAAAAAAAGTCTTAAATTAATATCAAAATTATTTTATCTCACGAGTCATTTTCTGTTCGATGTTTGTAATCGGAATTTACAGAACCAACATCTTCATTAAAAATCCGTACAATTTCTGAAACCTTAAAAATACCGAAAACCGAGAATCGCAAACTGATGAGAAACGAAAGCAACAAATGGAAATGAATCAGAATGAAAAGAAATGGAATGGATTCTTGTCCCATGCACAGATGTTTACTGAATGTCAGCAAACATATACGCTCTCTCTGTTTGGTACTGTGTACTAGTGACCATAACGGGAAGGACAGGCGTTGGTTTAGAGCAAAGAGCGTGATTTCAACATGTGGGAGTGTGAATGTAGGTGAAGAAATGAAGAAATGGAGATGAGAATTTAGATTGAGACTCTCTTTAAAATCAGAATAATTGGGAATTCAGCCTCATAAAAGATCCCATTCAAAGTTCCAATCGGACTAGTTGGGACACACCCAGAAACTAGAAAAAGTCCGATAATTTCAAAGATGGGGTATTAGAGAAGACAGCGGTATTGATCAGTTGAAAACGATACGAAAAGGACAGAAAATGGTAGAAAAGGAGGAGAAAACATGTGAGAGTAGGAGAGGAAAACCAACTGATAGTGGAAGAAAAACGAAATGAGTTACGACCGAAAACAGAAAATTCGAGAAGGAATTTCAAACATGCGATAGGGTTTTACAAAACAGAAGAAAACAAGTGGATAGTTGAAAATGGCTGTTCGAGTTTTTAAAATTCCTTGAAATAAAAGTTTTAGCATGAAAAAAAATTGGGTTTCCAGGAAGTGAAATAAAAAACCACAAAAACATAAACATCTGAGTTCTTTTAAATTTTTTGTCGGAAAAGTTAAATTATTTATTCTATCGAAAACAAAAAATTAGTTCCTGAAATCGTCACCCCTAAATTATAAGATCAAATAGTTTTGAGAAAAATCGAAAACAAATTATAGATCAATTCTTATAAGCAGACTTGAGAACGGGCCAAAGATGAGCGTCTGGCGGGCCACGTTATAGTTGCGTTCAGGATCGATATTTTTGGACCAACTGCATTCGATATGATAAAACTCGACTTGTAACTCTGCTCATAGACTTTTTTAATGAGATAATTTTGTAGTACTCGTCGAGTTTTATCATATCTGATTTAGTTGATCGAAAATTATTGATCCTAGAAGAAACTATAACAGGGCCCGTTTTTCAAGTATACACCTAACGGGAACATAATAGATTTTGACAGTGACAAAATTTCAGTTTCAACTTGAACTTCTTTTATCTCTTATCCAGATCTAGATCAAAGATCTAAAACAGTGAAAAGAAATCTGTAAAAATAGCTGGTGCAGTGACAATACTCATCACTGAATTCGAAAACTCCTTCAACGCCATGGCTCAATCCGTCCTACCAGGAGACATCCAGACCCAACCTTCAACTCTCTGTATAATGACAACACACCTACCACATCAAGCTGATTAACTCCTCGTCTCGCCGTATTGGATAAGACTACCAACGTGAAGAGACTCGAAGTTGACCCACCATGTGGAGTTCTCGACCTAAAGGAGGATGTGCTTGAAGCTGTGTCTTGCGACATTAGGACAGGAGGTTGGTTTTGGACATTCAATTGATTGTTCCAAAAAGTTTTTGTTTCAGGGCACGAACAGCGACCGTATTACTGTCGGGTGGACTAACACCCCAAACGAAGCTGCCAAACAATTCCGTCGTGAATGGTTCCAGGGAGACGGACTAGAAAATTGGAATCTGAGTCTTTTCAAAAATGATCTTGAGAGTGTCTGAATGTAACTTATCGAGGTTAATTTACACTTGTTCTTTTCTGTGCTGAACAACTCTGATATAGTGAATCAAGGGACTATCGACCATCCTGATCTTTTACGTCACTGTTCTTCGGGCTTCCTTATTTGGCGACTGTCCACTGATCAAAATGTTACAGATGGAGGCGTGCAAATTCATATGAAGTACACGAAAAAGACACGATATGTTGAATACACAGAACAGCTATCAGATCATATCAACGGAACGTATAGTAATAATCGTATCGTGTTTCCTCTAATAGCTACTTCTAGAAGCCCACCCAAATTGTCCATTTTGAACTCAATTATCTCAATTGCTTGGAAAGATATCAACATTTTGTAAACTAATGAAATATAAGTGACATTGTGATAAATAATCTATCAATTGACAATTGTTTGATATCTTTTGAAAGAAGCGAGATAATTGAGCTCAAACGTGACGGTTTGAGTGGACTTCTATTTGAGAAAATACGGTGATTGTACAGAATATACCAACATCGGTTATTATGTTCTGAAGCTCATATGAACCGGTTCGGCGAGCAAAAAAAAAAATGCAAATCCAAAGCTTCAGATATTTTCTGCCCAATACCAAATTTTCTTGAGTGCCTCATTGATCAAGCGAGCTTCCAGCAGATCGAAAATACCATTTGGAGAACGTCGACGAACCGTGGACACAAATAAAGGTAATGACCGTAAAACGTATAATAGAAGTGCCCCTGTCGACTGTCAAGTTTGAGCTCGATTATCTTGATTTCTATGAAAGCTGTCGAAAATGGGTAAACTGGCAAAACACTCTTGATATTTTGATAAACCATTTATCTGTTGACAAGTTTTTCATTTCTTTGACGGGAACCGAGAAAAGTTATCTCAAAGTTAGAAGTTAGAGTGCTGTTCTATTGCAGGTTTAAAGTTACTTCAAATTAATGAAGATTTCTATACATGTTTAGGATTAATTTTTCAATTTTTCTTTGTGTATTGGGTGGCATTTGCTTACCTTACTTGTTAGCCTATATCCCAGTCTTCTAGAAAAAACACTTTTCTGCTACGAGGTTAGGCTTTGTACCCACTAGACTGTCCCGATTATTTTTCGACTGAAAACGTTTTTTGCATGCAAAATCAGTTTTTCACATGTTGTTGCACTTTTTCCGGTCAAGCTGTTTGTTTCAGTGATTCCATGTATGACTGGTTTGTCACCCAATTTATGCCACCAAAAAGACGTACAAACTACACATTCGGATTCACACATCGACGGTCTGGTCATCAGATGGCCACGACGACGCGGCGAGGGTAAAAATTTGACCGAAGAAGAATGAGAAAAGAGACTATTGCGTTCAGTTCATGATTCTTTCACGGGGAAGCTATGAGGAGAGTGGGCGGAGCTTATGTGATTTAGGGACAAAGAATAAGAATAACTGGATACGGTCATATTTAAAAAGCTGCAAAATCTACAGAAATAGACTGAATCTTAGATATTGATACCTAAACCTCAGATTTTCAAGCCTTATGTTTTCAGATTTTCTCTTGATTTTGAAATGAAAGCAGATTCTGATCTACTACAACTTATAGGAAACATCTGTAAATATGAATTTCCGAAGGTTTTATTTTGACTACCATGCTTCAATTTTCCCAGAACTCATTACCGTAAAATCGGCATTAGAAGGGACCCCAACGTTGAGCCAATTTATTTTGGTTCCTGTCAAAGATATAAGATTTTTGTCAACTAACAAAATATTTTTGATATTATGCTAAACATTTTTTTAGTTGATAACTTTTAAATATCTTTTACAGGAAATGAGATGACTTAGCTTAAACTGAACAATATAGGGGCCCTTCTATTACAGGTTCAACGGTATTTAGTTCCTCTTCAAATGAATGTACTCTACAACACAGTTCACAGTCCTCATACCGTCATAATGTTCAATATCTTTTTTTGTTGAAAACAGCCTCACTAGTTTTTTTAATAACTAAACCATGTATACTTCTATTGTTCTAGTCAAAACTCCCAGAATTTAAAAGAATAAAAAACTTTCAGAATTCATATGAATCCAGTCAAGAATCGGTTCCGCTACCTTGTTGTATTTCTTGGTCTCGCATGTCTTACTTCTATTCTTTCCAACTATATTATCATCAACTTCACATTCATTTGCATGAAAGATGACCCAACTGGAATCGAGCTGTCTGAAAATGGAGTTAGATTTAGATGAAAAATTGAAAAATTATATATCGTAAATTTTTCAGACAACATACAATAGATACGACTATTCAGTTGCTGAGAAAAGCGCAATCGTATGGGCCGTCGCAGTTGGAACCATTCTTGGCACTGGTCCAATCAACTACTCATATGTTCGGTTTGGAGCACGTATCCCATTTTTCATCGCTGGTATGGTTTCTGCATTTGCTACCATTTTGACTCCAATCGGTGCATATTTGGGATTACCGTACCTGTTGGCCCTGAGATTTGCACAGGTGGGATTATTTTATTTTCAGCGTCATCATTTAAAACTTGTGTGCTACAGATGGAGCATAATTACCGGGACTAAAATTTCCAGTAGCATAACATTTGAGTAAAGAGTTGTACTCGATTCAAATTTGGAGTACAAAAATTAAAATTTTTCATTAGTGAACTGGTCTAGTTTCAAATTACTTTATCAATTTCGAGCTGAGTTATCGCATGTCAAAGTTGCTCCATTTTATGAAAATCACAACAGCGGAAAAGAAACATTACGGTGTTCATCTTGGGACAATCATAAATGTACCTAGATTTGAGAAATCAGTTTGAAAATTTCAGTATCTTTGAATCAAACTTAAAATTATACTTCTACCAATTTTCGTGCTCCCAAGATACTTATGTCTAGAGATATACCAGTTATTATCAGTCTTGGTAATTGTGCGCCACCTCGTACGTCGATACTTGGTAATTGAGCTTAAACGAATGCCTAATTTTCAGGGTCTTGCTTATTCTGCTGACTTTGCCGCCATTGGAATCGTTTGTGTCCGATGGGCTCCACTAACTCAAACAGGACTTTTTATCTCGATTTTGACAAGTTTCAGTCCTGCAGCCACTGTAATGACAAACGCGGCATCTGGCTGGGTAGACGAAAAAGAGGATAATCTTTGTTTCAATGTAGTAGTTTTTCAGTTGTGTAAATCGTCATATGGCTGGCAGTCAGCATTCTACGTTCACGGCGTCATTGGATTCCTCATTTTCGCAGCGTGGCTCTATTTTTACAACGACGATCCGCAGTTCAATAAGAAAGTGTCTGCAAAAGAACTAATTACAATTCAAAAGAATAAAACACAAGCACACATCGAAAGAGACTCATTTGTTCCGTATTGGGAGATTTGCAAGAATCGAGTTATCCTAACTGTATGGATCAATTCGTTCTTCGAAATGACCACACTGATTCTTCTGTTGACCTACTCTCCAATATATTTCCGGAAAGTTCTCGACTTTAGCGTTATCGAAACTGGAATGTTGATATCGTTATCAGCAGTAGCTCACATGCCAGCCAAGCTGATATCTGGATGGCTTTCGGATCGTCAATTCCTTTCTGAACGCGTCCGTATGTGGTTCTTCAACACTTCTTCCGTTGGTCTAGCTGGATTCATGTGTGTCACATTGGCTTATATTCCAGTGACCTGGAAGTACACAAGTGTAGTCATGTTCAGTATTGTTTACACTTTGATGGGTACCAATTGTGGAGGATTCTACAAGTGTGGAACTTTTGCAGCAAGGTAGGTTCTTTTAAGAATTCTCCTTTCGTAATTTACGAAATTCTTCGATAATTTTTAGGCAGTACGCTCATTTCGTCTTGGCTATGATACAGTTCATGAAGTGTATTGCTCTGTTTGCTGCTCCAGCCACTGTTGCAATTTTTGTCTCCGATGAATCGTCTCATACTCAATGGGGATATGTTTACATTCTCAATGGTTCATTGATGTTCATTGCGAATATTCTTTTCTTCCCAATGGCAACCGACCAACCACAACCATTCACGTTTGTAACCCGAAAGACAGTGGAAGAAGAAAAGAAGAAACGTCAAATTGCCTAACTTTTGATTCAACTTCGAAAATCATACATTACGGTTATGTACATATTATGTAGATTGTTCTGGATATAAAAGGAAACTCGTTTATATTATTATCACAGTGTTAACTTTAAGTAAACATTACATACAGGTAAGTAAGCAGTAGTAGTAAAAACACGCATCATCAAATGGCAATTAGTCCGAATTAAGAAATTCAGATTTCAAGATCAAAATTCTAAAACAAAGCGAATGTTAGGATTCAGAAATGTAGAGCTCATCGACATGATACTCATGATTACGACGTCGCTCACGGAAACGGGCGACATCTTTTCGAGTGATAACTCCACGAAGCTGGAAGATTTGAAATATGAATTGAACTAGTACTGAAGAACTTACATGGTTGTCATCATTCACTACAAAAAGGTACCGTAGTCCAAGACCTCTGAACAATCGGAAAATGAATGGAAGAGAAGTGTTCAATGGAACACGATGGGGGTGAGGATGCATGTACGGTTCAATGTCCAACCAGCACGATTCGTCATATTGTGTCAGTCCAAGATCGTTGAGGGACTTCATTTGGCTGTAATTAAAGCTTACAAGTCATTAAAGCTTTCAGAAAAATCTTACTCATCATCATCTTGACACTCATAAAAGTCATTTGGAAGAGCATTGCTGGATGTTCCTTCTTCTTCGAATATCCTATTTTCGAGAAGTTTGAAAAGTTGAGATCGGAGAATATATCCCTTCAGTCTACCGTAATCCGGCAGGGACTCGTACGGTGATTCTTCAATTCTGTCAACTACTGGAAATCCGTGATGTAGAGTTGATCGTAGAATTTCAACAATTCGAGAGACTCGTTCTCGGCGTTCGAGAGCAACAACATCTTTTCGCATCACTCGACTGGAAATTGATTAATTTTTAAGAAGTATCAAAGTATCAGGGATACTTACTCAGCTAAAATGTTTCTGCTCATTTTGGGTGGATTCCATCCTAGGATCGGTACTTCTGCCAAGTCAATATGAGAATCATAAAGTCCTTCGTTGAACATGTCTCCAACCCATTTCGTCACCATTAGAACAAGCATGATGGGCAGGCCGAAAGTGATGTCTTTGGTGGCCTCCATAATGATTGCAGTGAGCGAAATTGTCATTCTGACTACACCTCCTAATTGGGCAGCTGCTCCTGCCAACGCATATTTTCCAGGATCTATTCCAGTCACTGAAGGGAACAGTCTTTCAACCAGTATTCCAAATAGTCTTCCCCAAGCTGCACCAGTGAGAATGGCTGGAATGAAAACTCCAGAAGGCACAGAGATTCCGAATGTCCATAAAGTCAACAAAAAGTATTCGATGCCAAAGATTACCAATGTCATAACTCCAAATGAATCTGAAAATTTTATATGTTGATTGGATTCATAAGTTCATTTATGATTCACTAACTGATAGGACTGTGGAAGAGACTCTTAACACTTTCTTCTGGGTTTTGGAAAAATAAACTTGCTACTGCTGAGTATTCTCCTTTTTTACACCACATTTGGTTGATCTGAGTGGATGTGGCAGTTGGATTTGCTCCGATCGGTTGGCAGTCGTCGATTGCAAAGATGGTGAGAAATGCAAGGAATCCGGACACTGCAGCGACTAAGAGACATTCAAAAAGTCGACCGAACTTGCTGCTAACGTATTTCTTCCGGAATTCGGTCAGACGGGTATTGAGATAATTGAAGAGAGCACCGAGGCATCCGCCAATCACACCAATCAGAAGGAACAGCGGGATTTCCCAGATATTGTAATCTTTATTTTCGAAAATTCCAAAATTGGCGAGACCTGTCCATGAGAGCCATCCACTTCGTCCGTTGAACCAACTTAAAATCCAATTCACAGTGAAAGATGAGATCATTGCTGAGAAGAACATTCGCCATGTCAAGTTTTGATTCCAGAAACTTGCTCCCTCTTCGAGAGAAAACAATACTCCTCCGATCGGTGCTCCGAAGGCAGCAGCAACTCCAGCAGCCGCTCCAGCTGACACAAAATCTCGTCTTTCTCTATCGTTTCGGAATTCTCGGAACACGCCAAAGTCGATTCCAAGTGAATAACTTTTTCCTTGAGATACTCCAGCTCCCACGGCGGCACCCGAATGAATCATGGGTCCTTCTTTTCCAGCACAAAGGCCTCCTCCAACAGAACAAGCTACACCGATAGCTTTCGAAACAAGTGTTTTCAGTCGAACGACCTCAGGAATGGCAATTCCATTCAGATAACACTTGATCTGAGGGATTCCAGAACCTCCGGCAATCGGAGCAACATATATAACAAGAATCGCAGCAATGGTGACGAGAACACAATTGTATCCGATCCACGCAATCATCACAGTCCACATGCATCCTGCGGTAGTTCCCCTCTGTTCTTCTCCACATTTTGATATTACTGAAATCTTTCAATCAAAAGTGTAAAAACAAAACAAAATTGACAACTTACAATACTTGAGAATCCAATTGAATTTGATATCCTTGCTGTAATGAACCATGATATCGATGAAAGCTGCGACGAGACCAGTGAATACTCCGATCAGGAAGCATACAAACCATCGATTTCGAGAGATTCTCCATAGCGTCAACTGCAAAGTTTTCGACGATTTATGCGATTTTTTCTCAATAACTTCAAAGGAGACGAACCTGATGGGAAGGTTTTTTCTCAGCGTCACGATACAATCTGTTTTCCGAAACTTCGTAGTTCAGACTTTCGTATCTTGCCGACAAGGCTTCGTGACTATCTGTTCGATCTGATTCCTCGATTTGCCGAGAGAAAAGAAGCTCCTCTTCCTATAAAATCAAAAAATTCCGCTGATTTGAAATTACATATCTCTTTCTCTCACATGTCTTCTTCGCTGTCTAGCCATTTGTTCCAAATTCGAGTTAGACATGACTCTTTCAAGGCCAGATACTGGATCCTCATTTGGATCAAGACTATTGGAGCTGGTCCGCACCCTCCCACGAGAAGTCATCTGGAGAAGTTCTTTCAGATATGTCAAGTTTAGTGTATATGTGGAGAAGTAACGAATTTCCGATTTTCAGGCAACAGATTTATTGCAAAAAATAGAAAAAAAAACTTTTCTGGTTCAGTTGATTATTTTATTATGGACATGGAGATGGTAAGAAAACAAGGCGGGCTTATATAGGTTTTGGGGAATAAAAGCGTTAAGTTAAAGTAAATGTTTTGGCTGAAGACGAGTAGACTTCTGAGTATCCGTAGTGTGAGCACAATGTCGGATTCATTAGGCACGGAATCCACGACCACGAGATGTGACAGCTTGATCGGAGACGTACTGAACTGGGCGATATTGGACTGGTTGAACCTGTAATGTTGTTCATTTTTAGGTTTATAGTTGAGCAAGTAGCTCTCCATAATTTGGACTTCTTGTACTCACCTGTCTGACAACGGTCTTTCTTTGTACTTGTCTCCCTCCGCCGTTGACATATCTGACGTTTCCGCCACTTTGCTGTGGTCTCTGGAATCGTTGGTTCTGTTGTTGGAAACGGCGTGATTGTTGTTGCTGCTGTTGGAAACGTTGTTGTGGGACTGGCACTTGAATCACTCTCTGCACAACTTGCTCGTACTGAAAACTCTTTAAATTGACACATGGGCGTCCAAAAACTGTCTCACCTGTGGAACCTGACGACGGATAACAGTGTTATTACGGCGACTGTTATTGTTTCCTGGACGGAAGCGTCTTCCCTGTTGCACTGGTTGAACCACAACGACACGTCTCTGTTGCTGTTGTTGGACACGGCGAACTTGTTGTGGTGGGGCTCGACGAACTTGCTGTGGTGGAGCTCGTCGAATCACGTGAGTCTCCGTTGGTGGAGCGGTGATGATCTGGCGAACGACACGAACCGGTGCAGGTTGAACGTGCTGAATAATTGTACGCGGAGCTTTCGGTCTCTGTTGGACTGGTTGGACAATTCCACGAGCAGCAGCAACATTTCGTCTGATAGCTGCGGTTCTTCTGGCAGCGAGAGTAAAAGCGGCGACACCCTG